GGCTTTAATTGAAGCCACCTGCTGATAGCAGAAAGATCGGTTCTGATTCCAAAATCATCGTGAATTCTTAACACAATCAAAAGGTCTAGAAGTCTAGACTGTCAGAGTTGGCAGCAATATCAACATCTGGTGATATTCACTGTTTAACCTTAAGGCTTAAACTAATAACCAGCAACCTGTGTATGAAAATGATAAAAAGAAAAGAAATTAAAGTTTTCGCTACTGTCAGAAACATCCAGTGTTCATACTCCCCCACAAATCCTTCATACATATATATACAAATAAAACAGAACTCTTGTTCTGATCATGGAGCAACCACTCCGTCACCACATCATAAACCCTTTACAGATAACCAAAGATACAAACTTTTAACAAATCCATTCCAATTTTTTTTTTAATATATACATACATATATATATACACACACATACACACACACACACATATATATAATAAAAAGATTTAATGTCAAATATATATGAAATCAAGGGAACAAAAAAGAAAGAAAAAATAGACTCAATTTTTAGGTAAGGTTTTCAATTGAAAATGAATGAGAATCTGACAGAAAAAAAATCAAAATTATCAGAAACAGATTTGAAGGCCTATATAATTACCAAAACTTTGAAGGACAAGTCTGCGATGGGAAGATTCCGGCTGCTGCACTCTGAACCTAGTCACTGAATAAATGGCAAAAAGGAATTCAGAAGAAAAATCTAGACAACCAAGATGATATAGGAAAAATCTCCTTTCATTTAATGGATGGGATTGACAGATAAGAATGTAGAAGAGATTTGAAATAAGATGAGGTCGTGTTTAATGTACATAAAAACCTCCAAAGGTGAATTGAAAATCGTGGAAGTATTTAGACATAAAGATTTGTTCGTGCACCAAAAAAATGCATGAAACAAATATTCCATCACCACATCATAAACCCTTCCAAGATAAACAAAGACAAAACATTTCAGAAATACATTCAAAAAATAAAAATAAACGAGAATCAGAAATTAAACAAAAAATTAAAAAAAAAATCAAATTTATCAGGAATTGATTTTATGGCCTAAATAATTACCAAAACTTTCCAGGACAAGTCTGCGATGGTAAGATTCGGCTACTGCTCCTCGAGAAAGATAAAATAAAATAAGAACTGACTGCTTTTAGGTTATAACTTTGCTCTCTTAACCTAGTCAAAATTCACAGAATAAATGGCAAAAAGAAAGTAGCAGAGGAAATATAGAGAACAAAGACGATATAAAAAAAAGCTTCTTTGATTTAATGGGATGGGATTGACAGATAAGAATGTGGAAGAAATTAAAAATAAGATGAGGTCATATTTAATGCATTGTAATATGATGACATATATGGAGAATTTTCCTAAATGGTTACAGCAATAACCAGTTCAAAAAAATTCAAAAATGAGCACACACCTGGCTTGAAGTTTGAAAAGGGCCTCGACATTTGGATTTTATATAGATTTGTCCCAATTAAATTTATCATCTAACTTATGATTTTATATTAGAAAAATTAATATGCAAAATCTGTAGATAAAATTCAGTAATTACTTACCTTGTTGTGTCATTGAAAATCATAAGGAAATACAGATTTTCTCTAAATGCTATTGCAAACTTCACTAAATCCTATTCAATGATTTAAATAATTTCTTATATATGTCAAATATTTAATTGAAAGGGATATTATCTTTATTCATTCGCAATGATAGATGGCTAGACATTTACCCCTAACGAGTCTTCTTTTTATAAAAGTCTGCAAAATATGAATGTTTTCCTCAGCTTTGTGACGATAGTCTAAGCTTCTAATATTTTCTATTTTACCCCGCTCTTAAAACTGATTATAAGACCAGTGTAAAAAAATCTTTGATTTAATGGGATGGAATTGTTTAAATGACAGTTAAGAATGACAGTAAAAATAAGATTAGGTCATATTTAATGTACATTGTAATCGGATGACAAATGTAAAGAATTCTTAAAGATAATTACAGCAATAACCAGTTCACAAAAATTCAAATATGAGCACACACCTGGCGTACATCCCTGCCTTGAAATTCGAAAAGGACCACGAGATTTCGATGTTGGGCTCATTTTCTTGCCTGTAATATGAAGGATATTGATTTGATCAAATTGAAATTATCATCTACATTACAAGGTTCATGGACAAAATAAATAAATAAAACACTTCTGAAATATATTATTATTGCAATAGCCATGCAAAAGCGATATATTAGAAAAATCAAGATAAAAATCTGTAGATAAATATTTCAGTAATTACTTACATTGGTGTGTCATTAAAAAGCATAAGGAAATAAAGATTTTCCCGAAATGCTTTTGCAAATTTGACTAAATCTATTCAATTATTTTAAATAATTTCTTTTCTAGGTTAAATATTTAATTAAAGATGATATTATCAATGATCTGTGATGATTGATAATTAGCCATCCACTTCACCCCTAATAAATAGTTCTTATAAAAAAAATCGGGAAGATATGAATGTTTCCTCAGCTCTATAATGACAGTTCTAACTTCTAAGCTACTACGAATCTACGATACTTGATTCTAATCGCGCATTCGCGCTTAAATGTAGGCTGGATTAGAAAGCTAAAATGATGCACTGTGGAAATCAGGCTCCATTAATAGATACCATAAAAGCTTCTCTAACAAATTCACTAGAATACTGGAATCAGTAATGCTTTTACCCTACATATTCTTTTATCCAGGTAAATTAATCTAATATGAAGTTTAGCAGGACGAGTCTAATCTCAAAGCCTGAAAAATAAATCGAGAAAGTCTGAAGCAAAATTTATATCAGAACGTGTAACGATAGATTTTGATTAGACTGAAGCAAACTAGCAAACTCTTTATGCGCGCAACAGAAGATTAATAAATAATAAGAAGAAGAAAATATGCAAACATTAGTGTCACCTTAGTTTAGGCCAGAGTGCAGCCGCCTTCCTCCATCCTGTCCTATCCATCTTAAAAGGCTTCTTTACAGACTCGGTTTGAAGTCCTCTTGTGACACTCGTGTCTAATTGTCTCAACATCAAAATTCATAACCAAATTCTCGATGCAGATTAGTCAACCACAGTATCCACAAAACGCTCCAAGCAAACGAGGATCTTCCAAATCAAGTCAATAATTTTTTTAAACACTACGCACTCAAAATCGATATAATTTTAAATTGTTAATTTCCTCGTAATTTTTATTGTAATAAATTTTCATATTGATTAAACTTTGTTGAAGTAACTTCTTTAATTGATCTTATCTTTCGACAAAAGAAAACAAAAAACGTTAGAAATAAAAACGTGCGTATGCGGGTCGACTCGTTTTCTGCATGGAGTTGTTTCCTCATGGAGCTCCGATTTTGCGAGAAGTGTCTTCAAAATGCAATATGAAGATTTGAACTGTGGGGTGAGCTTACAACACAGGCACACGCACAACTCAGATAGAACACAAGACCTTACATTTTATTTTCCGAATTTCATGTGCGGGAAAATATAAAGAAGTATACATTGTAGAAAGTACGAGTGTATGACAATTAAAAAAAAAAAAAAGTTGTTTGTCATATTTCATAGTCATTCATCTGTGAAACCTAAAAACCTGTCGATAAATTTAGCAACAGGCGTAGCATTACCAGGTTGATAAGCAACAAGGGAATCTGAATCCATGGCAGAAACAGTCTCGTAAAGCGTGTTTGGATGAGCGCAGAACAAATGATTTCTTTCGGCGAGTTCTTCAGCCAGCTCGCTTTGATGATTATCCATTAAATCCTCGTTAACCACAACAATTAGGGGCTTTCTCAATTTCAACGTCTCGAATATGCTCCCTGAACCTGGAATATAAAGTAAATAATGGCTTGGAAATTAAATTTAAAAAAATAAATCCTCTTAAAGAGCTAAAGAATAAAATACAACATGCAATATACATATTAGAAATAAACGAGTGTGGCTTCTGATAAGTATATAAATCAACTGCAGATGGTAGTCATATATATGCATACACACACACACACACACACACACACACACACACACACACACACATATATATATATATATATATATATATATATATATATATAATCCATAAATAATTAGAGAATGCTAGTGAATAGACAGATATTGCTTGCCATGTTTCTTTACTAATTGTTCTTTTCTTTTCGTTTTTTAATTTTGCAACTCTCGAGGGATATTGTAAGAAATATAAGTAACGGTACAGAGGGAAACAAGACAACTGAAATGAGTAAATTGTGTGTCAAGAAAGAACAAGTTACCTGCATGACTAATAACAAGAGATGCTGACTTGAGAAACTCAGCTATGCTTGACGAAAATGTGAAGTGATCGACAGATAAAGAACCATCTTCTCCAGCAGACTGAAAGTTGATACCATTACATTAGATACGAATATAGATGCAGTAGACTCTATTTATGTGTATTTCCACATGTACATTAACAGAAACTTCCACCGCAATATTACTATATCTTAGTAACAATAACATTTCCAAAAATTCCGATTGAATGAAAAAAAAATCCAGCTTTTAGACAAGTCCGTATAGGTTTTTGCACTCAACTCAGAAAACAACTCGATTTACAGAATTTCAACACATCTCGAAATGAAAACTGGCAAAGAAAAAATAATCACGAAATAATAGCCATCTTTGTTTCATGTGGTTACTGAGAGAGTTTTCGGAAATGATATATGCTTACATGTCAAGCACAATGAGAACAAGAAATCTTTACTAAAGCCCGAGTGTATATTGTTGACAAGTGCCAAATTATTGCTCCGGAAATTGAATAACATGCTACGAAATCAAAATTACCACGTGCTTGAATAAGAGCTTCAAATATTACCTTTGTGGGGATGTAAGATCCGCGACCCATTTGAATGAGAAGATGGGTGTAACCCTTTTTGAACAATGCTTCTTTAACCTCGCGAGTGTCTACAGATTTAACCAACGAATCAAAACTAGTTGTTCCAACTGTCACAAAAACTACCTTCTTTGAATCCGAACTATCATTAGCATCACTCATTTTATGCGTTTCCAACTCTCGATTTCACTTTTTTCAAACCAATTACGAGTGAGAGCGAAGAGTAACGTCCGAGAAATTAACACGCTGCAATAAAAACCAACCGTTGAGTTTCAAATCAACTCAAGACAACAATTTCAGTACGTAAACGAGGGATCAAACATCAATAAGACTATAATTCACCAATAAAATTCCGGGCAGAATTTTGCTACAAAAAAGTCAGATAAAGATCAAGACCGACTACGATATTGAATAAGAAACGGAAAATATTTTTCCTAAAACATAATTATAGCTGCAAAAGTAGAACTGAGCTAAACAAAAATGAGATGCAAACTCACTAAACAATTACTAATATAACTGAGATGGAAATGCAAAAAATAACAGCAGAATTTGTTTCTTCTACAATCAAACACTTGTTCAATTAATTTATCCACATTACCCCATGAAGTAACTCGAATCTCTAATCATACTGAAACAAAGAAGAAGAAAAAAAACTCCTAATTAAAAAGGGAAAAGCTTGCTAAACCCGAAATTACGGTGCAAATTAAATTAATTTTAATTCATTTTATTTCATCTGAAGAAACATTCTACTGGTTCTCGAGAATCAGTAAATAATTTCGTGAGATAGAGAGAGGGAAACCTGTTGTTCGGTGGGATTTGAAGCGCAATGAGATCTCGGAGGAAGCTTTTGGATTTACTGTGGTTGACGTCGCCGGAGGAGGCGGCGGCGTTGATGGAAGGTTGGGAGTGACAACGGGTTTGGGTGGTGGATGACGGGGACGGCGGTGCAGACGGTGGCGGATCGGCGGAGGGGTGATGGAAGTGAGTGCCGACGGGTTTGGTCAACTAATAAACAATTAAAAATGTTAATAAAAAATTGGATTTATTCATGGGCTAGAAAATCAACTAAATCAAAAGATCAAGGACCACTGGTTAAATAAGTGATATCATAATTACCTCACAAACAATAATCAGTATTTTAAAAAAAAAATTATGGCAAATTACAGTACCCCTTGAGTTATGGTCAAATTACGAAAATCCCCCTTCTGTTTGGAAAATTACAGCCACCATATTATCTTACTAAAATATCCGTTCGGAGGTAAATTTAGGGATGTTAAATCGGTAAAACCGAACCGAAATTTCGGTACGCCAACATTTTATACTGTTTACCGAACTGAATATACGATTTGGTTCGGCAAATAACCGAATTACATAAATTTTATGTAATTTTTTTTAAAAGGAGGGGTGGTTGTAATTACCCAAACAAAAGGATTTTTTTCATAATTTGATCATACCGGGGTGCCCGTCATTTGCCCAAAAAATTAAAGAATTAAAAATGTACTAAAACAGTAAAACTCTATATTTAAGCTTCTTCTAATTATTTTTAATATTTAATTACAATATAATATAAAAAGAGAGTGAGAAGTACACTTTCGTCCCTTATATTTCACCTGATTCCACTTTTGGTCACCATTGTTCCAAACTAAACAAAATACACCTAAAAAGTTCAATTTTAAACAGATTTAGAGGGTGTTTGGCTAAGCTTATTTTAAACAGCTGATAAGCTCCTACGTCTGATAAGATGTTTTAAGAGCTGATAAGCTGTTACGTCTTATTTTTAGGATTAATTTTTAGAGTGTTTGGATAATTAGCTTATTTCCTATTTTTACTTATAATAAGATTTTAAATAAAAAGGTGGAGTAGAGGTACTTTTTCAAAAAGATCTTATTTGCTCTCCAACAGCTTATTTTTAAAAAAAATAAGTTTTTTTTAAAAAAAATTACCAAACACTTTGGAAGAGCTTATAAGCTCTAAAACATTTTATAAGCTCATTTTAACATCTTATAAGCTTAGCCAAACACCCTCTTAGTTCCCGTCTTCACATGCCCGTTCATATCTAACGGAAATCAGTACTTTGGGGTCAAAATTAAAATTAAATTATTTTGGGGCTTGAAAATAATTAGAAATGTGGAGTACTATTTGTAATTATTTAAAAAATTACAAATAGCACTCCACATTTCTAATTATTTTCTCACCCCAAAAAACTTTGTATTTCAATTTTGACCCGAAAATAGTGATTTGGGTTCGATGTGAATGGACAGATGACGACGGAGACCAAATGGATTTAAAATTGACGTGTATTTGGTTCAGTTTGGAACAATGGGGACCAAAAGTGGAATTAGGCTAAACGTGAAGGGAAAAAAGTGTAATTCTCCCTAAAAAGAGAAAAAGAAAAGACCAGAAGAAAATAGTGTAGTCGCTGAAAAGAATATATAAAGAGTTGAAGGGCCAAAAACAAATTATCCATTCGAACCTCCTTATCCTCCCTTCAACTGAACAAAGCAGCAGAGCAGAAACAATCAATCAAAGAAAAAGAAAAGTTCACAACAATGGCGTCTTCTTCAACCTGGAGTATGTGTTCACTTAGGGCGGCCCTCCCTTCAATCAGCGCATCTCCTTCGTGCCCTTCAATTTCCTTCCCAAAATACCCTTCTTCCTCTTCCGGGTTCAAACTATCCAAACCCAAATCCGGCCCGAAGCCCATCAATTCCTTTGTGGGCCTCGCTCCTATGTCCACGCTGCTGTTTCCCTCTTCGTATCAAGGTGTAAAATTCGTTTCTGGCATTATATCTATATATATACATATATGTGTGTGTGTGTGTGTGTGTGGGCGTGCGTGTTATCTGTTTGCTTAAATGCTTGTGAATTATTATGCATTCGTAAACATTTTTTTGTTTACCCCAATTAGAGTTGTTGTTTATTACGGATAAGAACCGCGAAACCGCATTGTTCTTTCACTGTCGGAAACCGGAATTATACGAAAATGTAGCTGAGTGATAATGTGGGTGATATTATAAATGTATATAGTTCTCATATTCTAGTTATAGTCTACATTGTATGGATATTTTTATATAGTGTTCAGGTTTAACTTAGAATTTCAAGAATATCGCTGTTGTAGTTCTTGGCAGTATTAATCTAGTGAGAGATTAGGTTCCGACCAGTGTCTTTTTTTTTCGTTCGTGAGTCGATTATTAAGTGCACGGTTTAAAGTGGATTACGTCTATTTTCTCTTGACAAAGCTTCTCGTAGGAGTGTCTTTATGTAGAAGTGGAACCATTATTTTTTATCGAGGTTTTTCACGTCAGTCTTGTAAGGCTTAAAATTTACTTTACCCTCGTAAATCGAATTACTAGCACTCCCAGTTCCTCATCTTTGTCCTATATATATATATATATATATATATATATATATATATATATAGGGAAGAGCAATCGAATTTTTTGTTTAAGTTGTTTATCGTCTCCAATTGTTGCTTCTTGAAATTATTTTTCGTCGGTACAGAAAACCCTTTTTTCTTTTCCAATTGGATGTTCTTATCTTCGTTGATACTTATAGTCGGATTCTTTTTTTTTTTTTCAAATAAACAAAATTGCAGATTCGAGTTTCGAGTTCACAATAATCGACAATGGTGGCCGAATTTCAGCCATGAGGCACGGGCGGAAGGTTCCAAAACTGAACAGGCCGCCCGATCAAAGGAAGGCTCTTTTACGGAGCTTGACAACTCAGCTTCTAAAGTACGGTCGAATAAAGACAACTAGAGCTAGGGCTAGTGCAATGAGAAAGTACGTTGACAAAATGATCACAATGGCTAAAGATGGATCTCTGCACAAGAGAAGACAAGCACTTGGATTTATCTACGAGAAGCAAATAGTCCACGCGTTGTTTGCTGAGGTGGAGGAGAGATACGGAGGCAGAGAAGGAGGGTATACTAGGATTATCAGAACTTTGCCTAGGAGGGGGGATAACGCCCCCATGGCGTACATCGAGCTCGTTTGATTTATGATTTGAGTTATTTGAGTAAGCTTTTTTGTATGTTGTTTCAGTTTTCACAACAATTGGAAACTTTTTTTTTTTTTTTGTATTGAAAGTTGAAACCTCCTATTTTGTTGGTATGTGCAAAATCGAGAAATTTTCTTTTTCCTTATATCGGATTACGGTTTTTTTTTCCCTTCGCATTTGTTGTGAAATGTAGATTGCTGGTAAAGTTTGAAGCAACAGGCATTGAACTATATGAACTATCAAAATGAAGCCATGTTTCTTTCTCTTTGGGGAATGTAGATGGAAGAGATTGCTTTGAACAAAACTTGTATCACCTTTTCTTAGTCTTTCTAATGACAAATTGCATTAGAAAGGCAACAAAAGATGATACAACTTTTTGTGTTTCGACTTTTTCGGAGATTTTGAATCGAATCATGGACAAAACGAGTCAGTTTAGTAATGTGAAAAAATCGATTTATTATGTTTTTTGAGATTAAGATTGAATCATAGACAAATGTGGTAGTAGTAACAAACCAGTTTTGTAAGCTTTAAAGTGTTAATTCAGTGTCAGTGTTAAGTGCTTTTCCCATAACTCAAATTTAAATTGCATTTGATAGCCAAATAAATGAACTTACACCTTTTATATATAGAGTATTTTAAAATTTAAACTTGACCATGAAAAAAATTAGCTATAAATTAGTTAGTGAGCTTCATATCAGTGTAGTAACTTAGCAATTTTGTTGTCCCGTAAGAGATAGCCTAACGGTTGCACTAAACAGAAAAGTAGGTTGGAGGATGGAGGAGTTTTACTAGGGGTGGAAGCCGGAACAGGATTTCCGAACTCTGCTAATTCCGATACGAAAATATTTGAATTTGCAACCGTATTTTTTATTTCGATTTCCGAAGTTTCGATTTTCATTTTTTTGATATTTGGAACGGAATCGGAATAGTATATAAAATTTTTTCGAACTCTCTTTTTGATTTTCTTGCATTTTCATGCAAAAATTCAAAAAAGACGGAAAAATATTGTGAAAATTTCTATTATATTTTAATCTAGAACAAAACATTATAAACTAATGTCATTTTCGAAATTCCGCCGATTCCGACGTATTCCGATATCCGAATGAATTATTGCATTTCCATTTCTTTGGAAAAGAAATAAATTGGAACCTATTTTTCACTTCCAAAAAAAATTATAAATTTTCCAAAAAACAATTTCCGATCCGTTCGACGTCCGATTTTCACCCATAATTTTCTGAAAATAGTTTTTATTTTTCATTTTTTATTTATGAAAATCTCATAGCCAAAACCAAGTGTGGGTTTTTTTAAATAATTATTACAGGAAACGGTTTATTTTGGAAAACAGGTCCAGGGATAAGTGAGATAAGGTTGCTTGTATTTGTCTCTTGGATTCCCCCCTTAACCCCTCCCTCTATCTTCTTCTTCTTCTTTCTTGTAATCTGCCATTTTTACACTTGTTCAAGAATTCAAGAAAATTGTAAACAGTCTGCCATGTCAGCTTTGAATCTCGTCTCTTTGGGTGGCCAGCTGCTGAATTCCCCCACCCACAAACCCCTCAAATCTTTCCTACTCCCACCAACTAAACCCTTCTTCAAATCTCCAAACCCCATCACCACCACCACCACCTGGAAATCAACCACCGCCGTGAGAACAGCCGTCGCCGCCGTCGATTCCTCCGGCCCCACCGAAAAGGTCTAGATACTTCCATTCCCCAGCCCCCATTGTCTAATATTTATCAAAGATTAGTTTTTTATTTCTTCTTCTTTTATCTATTTGGTGATTCTTGATTTGGCAATTGTCTAATATTTATGAAAGATTAGATTTTTTTTCTTCTTCTTTTATCTATTTGGTGATTCTTGATTTGGCCATTGTCTAATATTCATCAAAGATTAGTTTTTTTTTTTTATGTATTTGGTGATTCTTGATGTTTGACTTTGGGAGAGAGATAACAGGTGGTGGTGGAGGAAGAAGGCGGTGGTGGGAGGAAGAAGTACCATTTTCTAGTGGCGAATGCCAAGTTCATGTTGGATGAGGAAGAGCATTTCCAAGAACAATTGGCCGAGCGTCTCCGTTATTACGGAGAAAAAAACAAGGAGCTCGATTTCTGGCTCGTAATCGAACCCAAATTCTTGGACAAGTTCCCTAATATCACCAAGAGACTCAAAAGGCCCGCCGTTGCTCTCGTTTCCACTAACGCCACTTGGATCACGTACGTAATAACACACCGCCACTTTTCAATTTCGAAACGATCAATAGACACTTTAGTGGCTTTTTGCTTCATTATCATAACAAGCTTAATAATGGTTTATTGTGTTTGGTCTAATTGTTAAAAAAAAAAGTCCCGTTTTATATAATGCATTATTTTTTTAGTGTGGGGAGGTTTTTGCTAATATTAATAACACGGGGACCTTTTTTAGCATTTCGATATAGGGTACTAAATGCGAGAAAGTCAATTTAATTATGCGAGTATATGGATAATTTGATGGATTGTATACGGTTTTTTAGGTTCATGAAGTTGAGACTAGATCGAGTCTTGCAAGAGAGCTTCGAAGCAGAGAGTCTAGAAGAAGCTGTGGCTTCAAATCCGGTTAATCTCGAGTTTGAAAAACCGGAGAAATGGACGGCTCCTTATCCCAAGTACGAGTACGGGTGGTGGGAGACATTTCTTGCCCCCGTGGCATCAAAGGTATGACGTGGCGGTGGAATGTTTTCGATTTTTTTTGTAAGTGTGCTTTTTATCTTTTTTATTTTTATTAGTAGCTTGTGTTTTTTGTTAGTTTAAGAGATGCTTTATATGTCGATTCGTTTGTAGAGGTGCAGAGCGAAAAATGCATGTCTTTTTTTAAGACAATCGAGATTTGTTCTATAATCTAAGTATATTGAATGAAATATTAATGCTCTCTAACCTTGTGTCCCACACGTGACTGTTTATACAAACGTGCTTATGTAGAGAAATATTTAGGTGGTGTTTGTAAAAGCTTACTGAAAAGCATAAGTTAGTGATTGTGAGTTAAGTGAGTATTAAGTGCTTATGTCTAAATGCTTGAAAATCAACTTAAATAGAAAAGCAGGTGTAGGTGCTTTTGAAAAAATAGCTTAAAGCAACTTATTTTTAGAGAAGTAAAAGCTTATGCAAACACCTAACTACAGATTATGAGCTATGGAAAGCTCAAAAGCTGTTTCTAAAAGCTTTTGCAAACACAACCTTAGATTGAATTGATTGAAGATAAAGACTTGAAATTTGTGATAGCAAATTCGTGGAGCTCGTTTCAAACTATTTTTTTTTTGAGTTTCGTCACGGTGTAAACGAACTCTAGTAGTCTATAACTTAAGCATGAAAAAAAAAAACAAGAATTCTAGCTGAAAACTACAAAATTCAATACCGGTTGTAACACAACCAAGAACCCTAAAAATATTAAAAAAAGAAAAAAAATCCCTTGTCCTAAATTAGGAGATCCTCATAGATCAATGCTGCTTATTGTCGTTAATGAACGGAACTTTCGGTAATTTCTGAAGAACCTTTTCGTCCAACGTGCTGTATTGTCTCTTGAGTTTGGCTTTCGCCTTCTGAGCGTAGGAATCCACTTGATCCTCGTGCTTCTCGTACAACGGTGGCATTGTTAGTATTGTCACAAAAACTGCCGTCACCAAAAACGCAACGCGTAATTACGAATACGAAAAAAATCATCGTAATATTTCTTGTCTTACCGATGTTTCTTGGATATTAAGAAGAAAAGCACTTACTGATGTATACAATGGTCAAGAAGTCGAACCAGCTTCCGACAACCGAGACAACCCACAATCCCAAAACCGCCTGTAAATAAATATTTACCGATAACATAAGCTAAAAAGTTAAAAAAAATAAAATAATAATAATAATAATAAATTAGAGTAGTATGTTAGAAAAAAGAAACTCGAGTTACAGAGAGGAACTTCTTGACGTCCTTTCCGGAAGCTATTTGCCAGAGTATAGCGATAGCCTTGTTGAATCTCTCGGTTAGTAGGAGTGCAGCATTCATGCACAAATCCTCCGGCAATTCAATCTCTGGGAAGTTTATAGGCGACCTATACACGAAACCCGAGAAGGCGATAAGTCGGAATTTTCCTTGTATATATATGTATATATATGTATGTATGTGTATGTATGTACTGACTTGTTGACGAAGGAGGAGAGGTTGGACCACAAGAAGAGAGTAGCCAACGAGAGAATGAGAGAATGGCAAATGAAAGGAACGAGATAATAGCCTATCCATTCGAAGAGTAGCCATATCACAGTCGAACCCGCTAGCAATGCCGCAGATATCTGCTTGTTCCTCCACAGTATTACATCCGCAGCTGAAAATACGATAACAAATTTTTTTCAATTTTTAATAGCGCAATAAATGAAGATGCCTTAGATTTTCACGTTAGAGATCAAACCATCCGAATCTTGATATATGTGGTGTTTGCAAATAGATTATAATTTTTTTTTTGGGGTTCGTAATCCGTTTTTTGAAGTGTTTTAAGAAACGGTACTTTTGTATTTGATTCTCTTAAAATAAGTTGTTTTAAGCTATAATATCTGATTAGAACATTTGAGGTGTTTTACAACAATATATTGAAGATTAGAGTTTATTTTGCATACGGATCGATCAACTTATAAATCGATTGCTTAAAGTGTTTTTTTTTTCTTTTTGCGACGACATGTGCAAACACCCCCAAATTATAGAAAAATAAACAAGTGTTTCCTACTTACGATCACCATCTTTTACGTTTTTTTAAATGAAATTTGCTTGCACCGTCTAAATATGGATCAAGCATACACCGTATTTACGCGTACACGTGTGCAATTTTACAAACTTGTGTTTATACTTCAGTCAAAGCAGAGCTCAGACGACGGGAAACAAAAATTCCGAAAGTATTTGAAGAACAAAAAAAAAAACGATGAACGGATATATATAACATATACATACGTTTGCCACCACCAAGGGCGGTGTGGACCGGGTTCTGGCGGCCAAAGAGATGACATTTTTCCCCTTGATGCGACGAGTCTTCGCTATGACCTCTTTCGTCTGATGAATCCGAAGAATCGTGATCCATCTCTTATCACTTTCCTCCTACATATATCAAATACAAAAACGCATTTCTCGTCAGCGATTCGATATGTATGTATAATTATATATATACATGATATTTGCAACATTTTAAACAATGCATGCATGAATATTACTTGTGAATTTTGGAGAAGAGAGATCTGGAGTGAAGCTTTTGATTTTGATTTTTTTTTCTTTTTGATTTTAATTTGTTGCAAGTTGGTTTATGTATTTTTTGTGGTAACTGAATCGTTCAAAGAGCCTTCTTCAAAAGAAGAAATATTCAAAGAGCCTAATATTGTGTTATTGGAAGATGAACTTAACCATATCTTGCCCTTAATTGTCGGCCTTCTTTTATTTTCCTTTATTTATATTTTTATGTTATTATTTTTAAAATAGTGGGAGGATTAATGATTATTTCATAACTTTGAATTTTGTTCTTATAATTTTGTAATTTTGGTCTTATATGTTGGTCTCTTTAGGGATTTAGTCCTGTAAGTTGACATATTTCAATTTTACAGGCAATAATTATGCAAAATTAGTATTTTTAGTCATATTTCACTCGAACTTTGAATTTTAGCCGTCGCTTAATGATGTACCTGACAAACTCGTAGATATTTATTTATATGGTGGATACTTAAAAATTATAAATGCTCATCTAATTTGATTTATAGATGAGCCGTCTCGAATAGTTAATGTTCTACAAATGGTAATCTAGATGTCGAATTTATAATTTTTCAAGCGTGCATATAAGTAAAATGCGTCAAGTTTATTTGTCGCGTTATAAAATTAAAAATCACTCAAAATTTTTACTATATTTGCAAAGTTATTGCATGTAAAACTCCTTGAAACAAGAAAGTTGTAATGCATATGGATTAGTTGAATGAGTGAAATTTTAAAGGAAATAAAACTCTCGTAATAGATAGAAATTTGATAGATTGTAAACTCAAAATATTCATAAACGTAATTTAACAAATAACAAAAAAGAAAAAAAAAATCTTGTTTTATGTTAAATTGTTTTATCGTAAATTTTAATTGAGATTACGAATTGGTATCATGAAAAGTATTATTTCAAGACTAATTGTGATAAAAAGTTAGATTTAAAAGGTACAACTAAGAAACGGTAGAACAACCTAAAAAAACTCTAACGGCATATTTGTAATTTTTTAAAAAATCAATTATTATTATTTTTTTATCTCCTATTTCGGCTATTACCAATTTTAGTAATTTTTTCTCTCTCTTACACACATAATGTGAATTTATTTTTTATACAATTTAATTATCATATATTTAATATTTGGAATATTACATTTTTCATCCCTCAAGCTTGCATTAATTTCACGTTTGCTCCCCCGTGTTTACAGAAAACACATTTGGTCCACAAAATTACAAAAACGCCATCTCTCACAGTTTAAATAATTATTAAAAAATAAAATAAAAATTAAATAACAAAAAATAAAGTAATAAAAAATTCAAAACAACGAGAGAAATAGTCCACTACGCCAATCACAATTTATTTTAATTTTTTTTAATAATTATTTAAACTGAGAGAGGTGGCTTTTTTTTTTTTTGTAATTTTCAGAGGTCTGAAAACTAATGGCGAAGACCACATTAAGACAATTTTCAAGTACACATGGGAAATTAGAATTTACTCCTATATGTGCAAGTGAAGAAAAAAATTCCGATTTTCGTCCATTTTACCTCCCAATTTTTTTATTTTTTTTTTGAATAATTCAAGTCATTAGAAGAGAAAGTAGGGGAAGGAGACTCGAAGCCTAACCTTTTCAGAAAAAAAACATTTGAAATATAATTAAAATTACTTTTTCACATTCAATTTTATTTTTTAGTTTAATTTTTTTCCATCACAAGGTAACTAATTCCTCCATGACTTCACCCGACCTGTCATTGACTCGTTTCCTCTACTCACCGAGTTTTCACCTGGTTGCATTCTCAAATTTGAAATTGGAGTGTATGGTGAAAGGGAGGTGGCAGTAATCCGGCGGCGATGGAAGCGGTGGCGGAAGGGCTGTGGGAACTGGCGGAGCACCACGAGCAGAGCAGGGAGATAGGTAAGGCGGTGAAATGCCTCGAAGCAATTTGCCAGAGCCCAATCTCGTTTCTCCCAATCGTCGAAATCAAAACCCGCCTTCGACTCGCCGCTCTTCTTCTCAAGCACTCGCACAATGTCAACCACGCTAAATCCCACCTCGAGCGCTCCGTAAGTATCTCTTTGTTCAACTATTTTGCCCAATTTCTCTGTCAATTTTTTTTAGCTTCAGTTTGCCTTTACTTCGTAGCTTGGATTTGCGCAAATATGTAGTGGAGGATATTGGTTTCTGTATGATTGATTGAGATGAATATTTGATTGTTGGTTTTCGCTGCAAAAAATTCACACACTGCAAATAAACCTAGTTTCTCTTTACCATGCTTCTCGAAAACTCTGATATGTCATTCATTCATTGAGATTACTGTCAACATTTCTAATAGGTGAAGATGTATTTAGATTTTAGAGTCGAATCGAGGCCTATGAAATTACACCGTGTTACCACTTGTACAAGTGATGATGTATCAAAGATGAAACAAACACAAGGGAGTAAATAGCTAGTGAAATACATGTTGCAGTTGGCTTTTACTTTTGTATTAGAGGGGATTTTCATGTATTATTCTGTTATTATGGCTACTTAACCCTTTCCTAACTGTCGTTTTTGGTGTTCCATAAGTACTAGTAGTATTAACTTGTGCTCTCCTAATAATAGCTTAATTGTAGCTGAAGAAGAGAATTTGAAGCCTACACCTACAAAATTGTGAAATTCATTTTTTCAACTAGGGTTTTGTAGAGGTTTCGAGCCTTCATTTGTGTTTGATTGTGTGAATTCCTAACCCTTGGTTACGTTCCTACCTTTCATTTTTAATAATTTGATTTCTTTTTCCACTTAATGCAATGAGGAGCATGAATTTGTATGAGGTTTTAAAAAGTGAGTTTTTGTTGTATCTTTAACTATTAAAATTGGCAATGAAGTGTTATAACACGAGTTTTGTAATTGAGAGAGTAGGTTCCATTTGAGATCTTGTTTCAGTACGTCTGGAAGAGGGAAGAAAGGAATAATAAATGTGCAGTATAGGGAGTATGTAATAATGCCCACACCTTTAACATTCAATAAACAGCAGAAATAACCACGGATCTATGGGTATTGTTCATTCCTACGTACAGAATCTGAACAACCTTGTAAATTTTCTCCGTCATCATGAAATATTTCTATATTAATTATCGGACTCCAACTGGCAACAACTATGCATGTCCAGCTTCATAAAAGATATCCCTGTACATAAATAAATGGTTTGAACTCTTTAACAAATGACTTTTGATATATCCAATTGTATGACACTTGTTGCACAGATTGCTTAGATGGGCATTAGTACATTACTAGCAGTTGCTCTTTTCACCCAACTTACTTTCATGGTACATATGAGTTGATGATTACGTTTGCATGACACGTGTTTGCATACCTGTCAGTTTGCTAGGCTTAGGCAATTTTGTTCACGCTGCATGAAATGTTGAGTATACAGTATGCCACTCCATTTAAGTACTGACCACCCATACTTATTTGTGATCACATGGAGTCAAATTTATCCTCTTTTTTTTCTAAAGCAAGTGACCTTATTATATATGGCCATTACACTACAAGTACCTAGGGATTCAAACCACTGACTTCTCCCCACACCCCACAGTGGCAGAAGCCCAAACAACCACTTAGACTAAGCCTCGGTGGTAAGTCAAACTTATCTGGTTCTATGGTAATTGTTGTCAGTTTAGAATTGTAAGTTGGAACTGTTTTTTTTTTTTTTTTTTGCATTCAATTTTAAATCAAAACCCTTCTAATTCTCTATCGGGTAATAATATAACCTCGGCTTCTTGAAGTTCTTAAGTCATGCCTATCCCCCGATTCAAACTAATTTTGATAATTTGAGTAAGATTGTTGATGTTTTGACTGCAGTTCCCGTGCAATATAGTTTCCTAATTTGGCAGTGCCTCTCGAACTCTGTAATTTATCATATTGTTTCTGATCTATAATGGATTGGAAACTTATTGCGCAAGAACTGTTATAGTAGCAATTGAGAAATTGGAAGTTCTTGGCCGATCTTGGTCTAGGGATCACAAGTTTAATTGATATGAACATCTGGGTCCTTCTTTATATAAATAATTGAATTCATTTAGTAGCACACGAGATACACTTCCATGAATAAGTGTAAACCCATTCTTTTATGGTCTTGCCCCTGATTAGAGCGTAAGCGCATTCTTTATGGCCTTGTCCCTGATTAGAGCGTGCTGCTCTGCTAAAATTTGACAATGCAGATAATTTGGCTTCCTTCATTACAAGAACAAATGACAGTAGTGAAGCTCGAATTGTGATAATATCAAAAGTTGTCACTAAATGCTTACATTAAGGGACGACTTTTTTGTATTTTGTCACTAATAGCTCCTTTTTATCGTCACTTAATCCTTTTTCATTGTCACTAAATAGAATCAGTAATGCACTATTAGCACAAACACAGTGACTACGTTTTACCTAAGTATGTGCAAATCGGTATTGTCACTATATATATATATTTTTTTCGTACTTCTTATAAACCACAATTTAGCTTTTCTTGAAGAAAAAATACTTCATCTTCTAATGTATGTCTACTTGGTGCAGCAACTTCTCTTGAAGTCTATTCCGTCATGCTTTGAGCTGAAGTGCAGAGCTTATAGCCTGTTGAGTCAGTGCTACCATCTCGTGGGAGCAATTCCTGCACAAAAGCAGATATTAAACAAGGGTTTAGAACTTTCTGCAATTTCCGGAGATGGGTATGTCTGCTTAGTATACGGAGCTTTAAGTTTTCTGCTTGAATTGCTGGTTGGAATTGGCTAATGAATTAATATTTCTTAGGATAAAAGAAATGTTGCATCATAGACTGGTGAGAGATCCTCTTGATCCTCCTATTAGCATTAAGCAGAAAATGATTTCAAAGGGCATATCCCCATTGCTAAAAGTCTTACCATTCGGATATCTACAGAAAAGCACATATAGAAATCTCTTTAAAAACAAATCTACTGTCCTATGTTGATCTTGTATGATACGTGTTTGTGTAAACACGACTATTTAGCGCCTCTATGTCGTTATCATTCAATTGTTGCATAGCACATCCATCTGCCTTAGTAGTTAGTTCACATTTGCTTCTTCAGAAGCTCCCCGCAGAAAATTTGTCATTAATTTTGCAAAGCACTGTAAATAACAAATTAACTATTCAAAATTTTTTTAGTTATCTAAAATGAATAAGGAGGTAGTTTTGCTACCAAAAAAACAAGCATGTTCTGATTTTCTTTGAGGTTTTTCATATTTCATTTTTGCGCTCCTTTGAGCAAATGAGGTTATCTAAGGTATAAAACTGGCATTTTTTCTTTGTTAGATGTGTTACGCTTCGAAGGCATTCCTCTGAAGTCTTCTTGTACATTCTATATTTTTGGCTGTTGGTCTTCTGGTTTGGAATCTTATGCTTCACTATTATTGTTTTGAGTTAGCATCTATCCTGATATGGTGAATAATAAATAATATAATGGACAATTCCTAGAATGCCTGTTATTGCCAGTAAGGTTTAGTTGATCTTTAGTAAGTTTTTGTTCACAATTGTAAGATTCCGTATTTGAAGGTTTGCTGGGAGATTATGGTATTGCAACTTCAATTCTCAGCTGGCAAATGCGCTGATAATTGAGGGAGACTACCACGGATCAATTTCGGCTTTGGAACAAGGACTGACTTCTGCTTCGGAGATGTTTTATCCTGAATTGCAGGTTTGTTTTAATTGTTATGAATATCATTAACTGTCAAATCTTTTTTGGGGCCCAACTGATGGCAATTTGCGAGTGTGAGTGACACGCTATGCGTGGGGTGGGTGTAGTGATTGTATTTGTCCCACATCGACAAACTGGTAAGACTCTCACAATGTTAATATTGTGGAATGTGCCTCTTTCCTTGAGCTGCCTTTTGGAGACGAGTTGTACGCAAACCAATGTATGGTGCTTGCTGTTTGAACTCCTTCGAATACATCTGTCACTAATGACAACATATATTTGTATCTAGCATAGTATAATACTATGTATATTAGATTATCTTTATTTAATGGTCATGGATTTTTCTTTTACTTGTTACTCTGTTTGCACTCATATATATTAGACGTGTTCCGTGGTGCTTTCTTACCATTATGTCATAAATGCCACTTTTCATATTTATTTAGGCTGCCAACAAGAGATTATAGATCCTTCGAGGCATCTAATTCTTTGTTCTTCTGTTGGGGATCAGATGTTTTTTGCTACTTCAATATTGCACGTGCGCGTGATGCAGTGGGACAGTACAAATCTTGTAGAGGAATCTGTCAATAGATGCAATTTGATATGGGAATCTATAGAACCTGAAAAAGTAAGTCAATTAATTTGTTCGTTATATCTTAGTATTATTATCATTTTTAAAATTAATATTGTTATTATTTTATTATTATTATTATTATTTTTTTTTTGTCGTCCTTCCATTCCTTCACTTATTATTATTAATCTAAACCAATTTGAGTCAAAACTGCACATCAAAATGAATGCATCTAAATAATATGATGGTGGGGGGTCCTCTCGACTGTTCCTAGTTAATCCTATTTTTGGAAACTCTTTTAACTGAATCATTCTATCCCACTCCTGGAGTATGATCACACGTTTGATGTTTCTTATCCATGGATTTGTTCATTGATAACATGATCGCACTGTGCAGTACTGTAGAAGTACCAACAATGTGCATACAGTTTGCTTCTGTGTGAATGCATTTAAGTGTATTTAATAATTGCGATTGTGTAAACATAGGTCTTTCCTCTTCAATCCTCAATCTTACCTGCATGCTAACTGAAATCAATCTTTTTCCTTCATTTTGTGTTCCTCTCTTTGTATTAACAGAGACAACAAGCACTTGGTTTACTGTTTTATCACGAGCTGTTGCAATTGTTCTATTTACTCCGGATATGTGACTACAAGACTGCTGCTCAACGCATTGATAGACTGGATGCTGTTATGAAGTCTGACTTACAGAGAATGCAACAGTTCCAAGATCTGAATAATGAAGTTGGTGCACTAAATCACAGTTCATCTGGAAAAACACCCTTGGAACCTGCATATTTCGGAAACGTTAAGCGAGCATGCGAGGAGAAACTTGAGTTGGCTCCACCTCCTATTGATGGTGAATGGCTGCCGAAAAGTGCAGTCTATGCATTGGTAAATCTTATGGTGGTTGTTTTCAGCCGACCGAAAGGGCTTTTTAAGGAGTGTCAGAAGAGGATTCAATCTGGGTTACAGATAATCCAAGGTTGGTTTTCGAAAGTGATAGGTAAATCTATAATTTCGTTTTAGTTTAGATATGTAGCTTAATATCTAGACTGGTGTTTACATGCAGATGAGCTGGTGAAGTTGGGCATTACCGAGGGGATCAAAGGTGAGAGTTGGTAATATTTCTAGAGTGTACGGGTAAACCATGAAAGGTTGCTATAATTATTTAACATGGTGTTTTATGCAATTTACGAAATCCAGAAGTGGAGTTGCAACACTCTGCAATTTGGATGGCTGGTGTCTACTTAATGCTTCTAATGCAGTTCCTAGAAAACAAAGTTGCAATTGATCTTACCCGGACTGAATTCATAGAAGCCCAAGAGGTTGGTTATCTCCTCCGTCTTAAATAGACTTCAAACTGAGGAATTTTATTATATGCTATTTAGGACGTAAATTGTAACGCTCGTAGATTGATTTTATTATGCTATTTAGGAATTTTATTATACTATTGTTATTTATCTCAATGTACATATTAAATCCTAAATACGCGATATCACAAAGAGATCAATGCATTTGGTGTGTCTACAGGCTTTGTTACAGATGCGAAATTGGTTCGTTCGCTTTCCTACTATCCTACAGGCTTGTGAGAGTATAATCGAGATGCTAAGGGGCCAGTATGCTCACTCTGTTGGATGCTATAGTGAAGCCGTGTTTCATTTTCTTGAAGTATCAAAGGTATTTATCTCTTTCATACACCTGGCAGAGTTACGTAAACAGCTTTCCATCCTATGTATTCTTTTTTTTTTTTTTTTTTATATATATATAACTTTTGTAACCGATGTTTCACATGTAGTTGACACAGAGCAAATCAATGCAAGCCATGAGCCACATTTATGCAGCGGTCTCTTATATCTGCATTGGTGATGCTGAATCTTCAGCGAAGGTAATATCTTCCATTTTATATTTTATAATGTCGATATTTTAAGATCAAAGTTACAAAAGCGCAACTGTTACACAGGCTGTTGATTTGATCGGACCTGTTCTAGGAGTGATAGATTCTTTTGTTGGGGTACGAGAAAAGACCACTGCCCTGTATACTTACGGATTTCTACTGATGAGGCAACAGAATTTACAAGAAGCCAGGTAAAGATTGAAAAAACTCGATTTTTTCATTCTGTAAAGATTGGAAAACTCGATTCTTTAGTGGAAGAACTCTAATCAAAATTACCTTTAATACCTCCTCTCTTTCTTTCGCCTTCTCCTGAAGCATGCCATAACTTTAATGCAGAGTCCGACTGGCCGCCGGCTTGCAGACTACACATACTTATTTAGGGAATCTTCAACTCGTTTCACAATATCTGACCGTGCTAGGAAATTTGGCACTTGCACTGCACGACACTGGACAAGCTAGAGAGATCTTAAGATCTGCTCTTACATTGGCAAAGAAGCTCAACGATATACCAACACAAACCTGGGTTCTCTCGAATTTTACAGGTACACATATTCATACATAAATAGGGTAAATCACGGCTAACCCCTGAGTTAAGGTCAAATTACGAAAACCCCCCCTCATGTTTGGATAATTACAACCTCCCCCTCAAATATGAATCTTCTTACAAGTCCACCCTTGCGGTGTCAAATGTAGTGGAATCTTCTTTCTAGATTATGTGAAATATTCTCCAGTTTGTACTGTCTTGCGCCATTCGAGCTCCACATCTTGAAAGTTGAAACAAGATGATAGTAAGATGTGTCTCTTGGCTTGTAAATATTAGACTGTGGTGCATCAAAAATTATATTTTTGCATAAAACGAGTACAAACTAGAGAATATTCCACGGAATCTAGAAGATTCTGTTGAATTTAACAACATAAGGGTGGACGTGTAAGAAGATTCGTAGTTGTAATTACCCAAAGAGGAGGGGTTTTTTCGTAATTTGGCCTTACCCCCAGGGTGGCCGTAATTTACCCTACGTACATAAATAATATCTCTGCTCTTCTAATGGTTGACGTAGGTAATTTGCCTTTCGGTTGGTTTAGTTTTGTATCAACAGTCAGCAGAGAAAGGAAGTGAAATGGAGAATATAGAGTACCAGAGAAGGAAAGTAGAAGAGTTGCAGCAAAGACTTGCCATTGCCAGCTCATCTATTCATCACAATGAACTAGTAAGGACACACACACACACACACACACAGACATATTCATCTTACTACTCGTTAGCTTTCATTTACGAACAATCGGTTCAAATGGGTGCTAATATTTTCGATCCATAAAAATTGATGAGCAGATTGAGAAAGTAAGAATCCAGGCTCATCAATTGAACGAGAATGAAATGAAACGAGCAATTGCGGGCCCCTCGAAAACAGTCGATCTTGACATACCTGAATCCGTCGGTCTGTTGACACCTCAGCGAACCATGCCTTCAGCGGCGAGGCTTATGGATCTGAACATCGGGAGGCTTGGCAAAAGAAAGTTGTAGTAATTAAAACCCCGTAAGTTGTTTCGTAAATTTGTTTCGACATATCAAAGCATACATCTATCTACATGTATTTATTTAGAAAATAATGGTTCCTTGATTAGTTGAAAACATGGTTGCAACAGAAACATGCCTACTTTGTTATTATTATCTCTCTCTTTATTATATTTTATATTTAATATAAAATGGTAAATATTAGACATGTGCTTAAGCTCTTGATCAATTGGAGCTTAAATTTTTAATATTATACATATTTTCTTATACTATTTATTAATATATTACTTATTATACTAAAAAAATGGAAAGTTCGTGAGTCGGCCCTTGAGCTTACGAGCAATTAGACATGTGCTTGAGCTTGTGAGAGTGAGCTTCTGCCGAGCCTATTACTCAAACTTGCTGGCCTAAAAATTTCATTTACGCCCCTATATATATCCGTTATTAAACCGACTTAATTTAAACATATTTCCCTGCAAACTTGTTTTAAATTCATACCTTTTTAATTCATTTTTACAAAGTCGGAATCCATGTACACTGCGAAACAAAGTTGATCAAACTAATTACCCAATGAACTTTACCGGGTGCAGTATCTGAATTAAGCATTGAACGTTGAATATTGAATGATGAACAAATGTTTGAATAACGTTGATTTCCTGTTATACCTTAAGTAATGTAACGCTAGAACTTTATTTGTTAATTAAATTTAATACGTTCAAAAATAAAAAGTAGCTAATGCAACTAAGTATGATCAAACCATACGAGGCTGTTCTTGTGACGTTCAACGGTAGTTGTATAACCCATGTCAACTACCTGGATTTCTTGCGTACGAACATTATAGAACAAATAAGGCTTATGGAAAAACACCCGCTCATGCAAAACCAACACCTCCATGTTATTTAACCAACCAGCCGGGCAAAGGCCTCCTCCAAGGGTACACCCCAATTGTTTTTCCATTCTACCCTTTTGAGCTTCCAAGTCAATCTTGACCACCTTATTCCATTCCCCGGGTATCTTCGTCATCTCCCAAACATCCCACGACAAGTTATTGGGCGAGGCCTTTAGCATAGTCAGAGATTTCCACGTCAGCAAAACAATCTCGAGACAACCTCCCTTAGAAATGAGGGTCTCTGTAATAATCTCACTCTCCAAGTTCAAACTCAACAAACGATTGCTCAGTGGAGCAAACAAATGCACAAACCCTTCAATAACCAACGGTCTACCGGCAAAATTGCCCTTGGCCGCGAGAGATACGTGTCGGGTGTCGATGTACCTCCAAGACTCGTCGACTCCCAAAGTCAATATAGCAGCACATATTGGTGCTTGGGGATTTTTCAAACCGGGGAATTGTAACAGGACCACTTTATACTCCTTTGAAGCCGGAGCGTATCCTATGCAGAAATTATAGTTGCACGTGTGTTCGCGGCCGGAAAATGGAGGGAGTCCAATTCTTTTATTAGTTACGTGATTCGCGACGAAATATTTATCCCTCAAATAGTGATTCTCCAACGCCAATCCGTTAGCCCAGTATACGAAACTCACATTTTGAAAGTGCTTCAACTTTCGGATTGTTGCTATGCCTCCTCTTCTACTTAGTGTCACAAAAGATGGAGCTTTGAAAATTGATCCGGCAAGACTCATCACAAGTCCGGGGTTTGAATGCTCGAGGTGCTCCTGTTTGAAATTATGCGTGCTGGTGATCTTGTACCATCTGCGACACACGAGCATGGCGGATTCGTAAATATCTTCCACGTCGAGCTCTAGAAGAATACGGGACACCATTTCGTCTGGAAGAGACTCTATATTTGTCGTTGAACTCAAACCCTTGTCCTTACATCTACTCGGGTAATAAGGGCGACTACGACTATTGCATTTCCCATCATCCAACTTATTCTGCATATACACACACAGTAGAATCTCGATAAATTAATAACCTTACTTAAATAATAATTTCTTCTGGTCCCTACTTGGTCCGGACTCAGTGAAAACATATTAAATTATTAGTTCGAGTCTTTAATATTTCACTAAATTTATAGAATTTTTGCAAGTCCCGACTGTATTAATTTATAGAGTTTTAACTGTCTAATCAGCGCCGCGGACAATTGTCAGTAATGAATTACATGAATGGTTCGCCGGAACGGCGTCGGAACGGTCGGAATGGCCTTTCCGGAACGGGAACGGTGTCCTCTGTTCCGGAATCCGTAACCAGAACGGTGTTTGCACCGTGACTCGTCGGAACGCCGAGAAATCAGTGGGATGGGCGAGACGAAGCCACGGAACGGCCCCGACGCAGCCGGAGCGGCACCGGAACGGCACCGAAACGGTGTCGGAACAGGAAAAAAGATTTTGAAAAAAAACCAAACAAATTTGACTAAGAAAGATAAGGAAAAAAAAACATAAAAAAAATAAATAAATAATATGGATTTGTTCGACCCTACACCCGGTGATAAACACCGGGTGGGTCTTCTGCTGCCACGTGTCTCTTTTTTGTATTTTATAATATATTCTCCGCTAGGGTTTACCTTTAGGGATTTTAGAAAAATAAAAAAAGGGACACGTGGCAGCAGAAGACCCACCCGATGTTTATCATCGGTGTAGGATCGAAGGAACCAATAATATGATGGTTGTGGCCACGTTAGATAATGAAGATTCCCCTGAATCACAGATCTTTGCCCTTCGTCTTCAATTATATCCTACACAATTCCAGTTCGGTATTCTACTTAGTATTAATATTGCTTGTATTTTCATTCGTTGTAATATTTATTTTTTAAATTGTAATATTATATTAAAAACATATTTGAAATATATTGTGTTTTTTTAACAATTTAATTAAAATGTGTCCGTTCCGGCCGCGACGCAGCCGCGACGTTGTAACGGAACTGGAACGGCGGACATGGAACGGCAGTGTCCGCGACAATGCATTGTTCCGTTCTGGCGAACCATGATTACATCACTTAAATAATAATTTTTTTTGCTCCCAGACTCAGTAAAAATGTAGTAGATTGTTAGTTCGATAATTTAATTTTTCACTGAATTTGTAATCCGAGAAAAAAAAGACAAAAAAAAAGACATACAAAGTACTTACCTCCAAATTTTCTTTATCTGTATTTGCCATCGGAGTCGATATTCATACGGCAGCGGCGGCTGAACGTTATCAATATATATCAGCTGACTGTATTTGCCAAGGAAATAAATTTCAAGGGCTATAAATAATTTAAAAAAAACGATGGGAAATATATCTCTTAAACCATTAACAAAAATAATTAATTTTAAACACAACAATTATTTATATAAATAGACTCTCCAGTTAAAATAATTTTGTATTATAACAGGCCTATCTATAACTTTATATAAGGGCAAATTACGCCACCCCTGTAGTATGTCCAAATTACCAAAAAAACCTCTCTTGTTTGAGTAATTATAGTCGCCCCCTCCTTTTAAATATTTTTACATAAAATTTATGTAATTCGGTTATTTACCAACCCAAATCGTATATTCAGTTCGGTAAACCGTATGAAATGTTGACGTACTGAAATTTCGGTTCGATTTTACCGATTTAACATCCCTAAATTTACCTTTGAAAGGGTATTTTCGTAAGCTCTTGATCAATTGGAGCTTAAATTTTTAATATGATACATATTTTCTTATACTATTTATTAATATATTACTTATTATACTGAAAAATGGTAAGTTCGTGAGTCGGCCCTTAAGCTTATGAGCAGTTAGACATGTGCTTGAGCTCGTGAGGGCGAGCTTCTGTCGAGCCTATTAATTGAACTTGCAAACCTAAAAATTTCATTTTACGCCCCTAGATGCGTTATTAAACCGACTTCTTATAAACATATTTCCCCGCAAACTTGTTTTAAATTCAATACCTTTGCAATTCATTTTTAGAAAGTCGGATCCATGTACACTACGAAACAAAGTTGATTCAAACTAATTACCCAATGAATTTTATCAGAGTGCTCGTTCAACAAGTATCTGAGTATCTAAGAACTATATCTGAACATTGAACATATGCTGAACAATTAAATTAAGTTTGTTTGATAACTGAATATCAATAATGTTTGAATAATGCTAATTTTCTGTTACACTTATGTAATGCTAGATCCCACTTTATTTATTAATAAAATTTGATTAGTATGTATAAACACACTTTTTCTTAACTAGGTTTACTTAATAAAAATATAAAATTTTGGGGACATTAAACATGTTGATATAGATTAAATTTATGGTAAATTACAACCACCCATGAGATATGGTCAAATTACGAAAACCACTTTTTGTTTGGGTAATTACAATTACCTATCAACTATAATTCTTTTTACAAGTCCACTCTTGCGGTTTCAAATTTAGTGGAATTTTCGAGATTATATGGATTATTATAACTTTTGTACCAGTTTTATCCCATTCGAACACCACATTTTGAAGGAAGATGATCATAATATGTGTTTTTTGACTAGTATATATCAGATTGTGGTGCATCAGAAATTGTATTTTCACTCAAAATGAGTAATAACTAGAGCACATTTCACCAAATCTAGATGATTATGTTGAATTTGACACCATAATGGTAGATGTGTAAGAAAAAATCATAGTTGAAGGGTAGAAGTAATTATCCAAACAAGAGAAATGTTTTCGTAAATTGACCATACTTCAGGGGCGGTTGCAATTTACCCTTAAATTTAAAATATTTGTACTTTTACACGACGAACAGAATATAAACCTGAAATTTAAAATTAAAACAACTAATAAAAAATTGAAGTAGGTAATGCAACTAAGTATGATCAAACCATACGAGGCTGTTCTTGTGAAGGTTAACATAAGAACAATAACCCAAGTCGACAACCTGGATTTCTTGCGTACGAACATTATAGAACAACGTAGCCTTATCGAAAACCATCCAAGCACGCAAAACCAACACCTCCATGTCATTTAACCAACAAACCGTGAAAAGGCCGTCTCGAAGGGTACACCCCAATTGTTTTTGCATCCAGCTCTTTCGAGCTTTTAAGTCAATTTTGCCCACCTTATTCCACTCCCCCGGTTTCTTCGCCGTCATCTCCCAAACATCCCACGACAAGTTACCCGGCGAGGCCATTAGCAGAGTCAGAGATTTCGACGTCGGCAAACAACAACTGACACAACCTCCCTCAGGAGACGGAATGAGGGTCTCTGTAATAATCTCACTCTCCAAGTTCAAACTCAACAGACGATTGCTCTCTGAAGGAAACAGAAAATGCACAAACCCTTCGACAACCAACGGTGTGGTGGTGAAAAGGTCCCTAGCTGCAAGAGACACGTGTCGGGTGTCGACATACCTCCAAGACTCGTCGGCTCCCAGAGTCAAAATCGCGCATATTTGTACTTTGGGATTTTCCAAACCGGGGGATTGTAGCAGGACCACTTTATACTCCTTCGAAGCCGGAGCGTACCCTATGCAGGAACCATGGTTGTTCGAGTCTTCGGGCGCGGAATATCGAGGGAGTGCAATTCTTTTATTAGTTACGTGATTCGCGACGAAATAATTATCCCTCGAATAGCAATTCTCCAATGCCAATCCATTAGCCCAGTATTTGGAACACAAATTTCTTTTAGGGTGCTTCAAATTTCGGATTGTTACTATGCCACCTCTTCTACTTATCGTTACCAAAGATGGAGCTTGGGAAACTGATTTGCTGAGAATCACAAGTCCGGGGCTCGAATGCTCGAGGTGCTCCTGTTTGAAATTATGCGTGCAGGTGATATTGTACCATCTGCGACAAACGAGCATGGCAGATTCGTAAATATCTTCCGCGTCGAGCTCAAGAAGAATACGGGACACCATTTCGTCCGGAAGAGACTCTATATTTGTCTTTGAACTCAAACCCTTGTCTTTACTTCTCCTCGGGTAATAAGGTCGACTACGACGGCTGCATTTCCCATCATCCAACTTCTTCTGCGTATACATATACGGTAGAATCTCGATAAATCAAAAACTTCGGTAAATATGTATTAAATTATTAGTTCGATAATTTAATAATTCATTAAATTAATACAATTTTGCTAGTTCCGACTGTATTAATTTATAGAGTTTTAACTGTCTGATCACTGCGGACAATTGTCAGTAATGAATTACATCACTTAAACATACTAAATTATGAGTTCTACAATTTAATTTTCACTGAATTTGTAATTGGAGAAATAAAATGAAAAAAAAAAAAAAAAAGAAAAAGACATACAACAAAGTACTTTACCTCCAGATTTTCTTTCTCTGTATTTGCCATCGGAGTCGGTATTCAAATGTCACCAGCCCGAACTGATGCGCGACACCCTGCGGAGGCGATGAACCAGCGGCGGCGGCAGCGGCGGCTGAACACAACAATTTTTTATATAGATAGACTCTCCGGTTAAAATAATTTTGTAAGGCAATAGCCCTATGTATAAGAGTTATTTGCACAGGCCCTTTGTGTAAGCTGTAATGGCTAAAAAAAACCTTGATATTAAAATAATTAACAATTAACCCCCCATGTTGTATTTTATTTAGTTCAGTGTGTCCTAGTGAAAATAAATTTGTTCACTAAAAGAAAATGACTATATTACCGTTTAATTAATAATATAAAATTAGATTTTTTTTGAGTAATATAAAATTAGATTTGATATATAATAAATGCCAATTACAATTTTACTAAACTTCTGAAACTTAAATTATGGGACTGAATTGTATTTTTCCCAAACATAAAATCGAATTGGATTTAAATTTAATTAATTCAAAACTTTGGTTCAAATTGTAATTTTTAAAATTTCTTAAATAAGGAAAAAAGAAACATTTATTTATCCAAAAAAAACATTTTTTATGGAAAAGAAAAGGGAAACAAAAAAGAAAAGAGAGAAAATTGCGTATTTCCAAAATTCTTCTTCCCCCATTGAAATTGCCACGACCCGACCACCGGCAAACTCCCACCGCCACCGCCAGTACTCGTCGCCTCCAAACAGTGAGAAAGAACATGTCTTCCCCAAAATTCTTCTTCTCCATTGAAATCACCACCACCACCATCAAACTCACAAGAGCATCTTCGACAATCACATTTTCACGCCGTCGCCCCTTCCTTCCACCACCCACCTCCTCCACTCTTCTCGTCCCCTTCAGCGCCAACTTCTCCTTGCCAGTTCCATACCAGCCGATTCTTCTTTTACAAATTCTAGAATCTTAGCAAGCCTAGCAAAATTACTAAACTGGAGCCAAAACTCTAATCACCACCACCGCCAAATCCCTAATCGCCGCCGTCGTTGGAGAAGAAGATAAAAAAGAGAAAACACAACAGGGAGGTTTGGATCCGGAGGCATCAGGTACCTTGCATAGTGGTGGGCTACTATGGGGAGACGCCGGAGAAGACGCCAAAAAATGCAAAAAATTGTTTTCTCATGGATTTTTTTCTCTGGAAAGTTCTGTTTTCAATGGGGGCAGATATTTTCACGGGTTATTGATGGGTTTTGCAGAAGAATAATGAGCTTGAATCTTAGCTCCAAACCGAATCGAATTTCGTCGGAGAAAATGTTGAAGTGGTGGGGCGAAGCGGAGGCTGAGGATATCAAGGGAGGTGAGGCCGGAGGGAGTACTCGCCGGAAGGATAGCGACAATCAACTATGTTCATTGTATTTTTGAAAAATTACAAATCAATCCCTAACTGAGGAAGAAGAGAGCCTTTCTAAAACTTCGAAGGACTAAATTAAAAAAATTGAAAACTTTATGAGGCGTATTTTTGAAGTTTATAATTTAAAGGGTATTTGGGTCTTTTCGTCAAAAATCAAACCCCAGTCGCATATTTGACGAGTGTGTCACACGACCAGTTCGTAAGGGCCTTAATATTATTGACTATGCAACACAGAGGGTATGTGCTAATTGTTTTGACATAGGGACTCTTTAGCTATTATAGATTACACAAGGGTGCCGAATGCTAAAATCTCATAATTTTAAATAAATATATACTTTCACCAGCGAAATTCATATATAGCGGAAGAAACTTTAAAACTTCGTATGAAATCGGCAATAAGACCAAAATTTGTAAAACTTTACAGTTACTAATATCTATAAGTCTAATTTAACTTGAAAGTCGACATACTTGAAAATTAGTTTTCTCTTAAAAATGTCTATATAAAAATAGTATATCTAAATACAACACTCATTTATATGTCTAAAATATTTAGTTAAAACACAATAAAAGTAAATACTGAAAACTTCAATCTCTAGTGTAAATACTTAGGCGGTGTTTGCAAACGATTTTCCAAAGTGTGATACACACACACAAACACACAAATACAGGTGCACTGGGTAAACCTATACTCTCGTATAATAGCTTGCAGATCATAGGAGAGATGTAAACCACACTAGACTAACCACGTGTAACGAGCTCGATCTAGCAACCGTTGTCAAGGGAATTCGAATTCGAACATTTTCACATCGAACAGAAGATGATTCCTTATCAACAAACAGTGTATGTGGCTAATGGGCATAATAAAAGATAGTGCAACTTAATTTTGTTGTGTATATGTAAAAACCAATATTTTGTGCTTATTTGGAAAAATGGTTTGCACTTTACCAGACAACCGAACATTGGCTACCCTTTTTTATTTTTTTTGACTTGCTATCTCAACTTGTCTACATTAGTGTCTGCTAGTTTTATTTCCAAAAAATATTTTTTTTCTCTTGATTTTTTTTAATATTTCCAAATCTCTAGTTTATTAGAATTTGTGTTTATTGAAGATATTAATATTAAATCATATATTTATATAAATTTTTAAATTTATAGTTGAGATGATCATTCAACAGTGTTAACATCATATCTATCTATTCTATTTTTCTTTTTTACTAAATGGTCCTATAGATTTTGACCTCTCGTCAAATCTCACCGTGAGAAAGATTTTAATATCACTAAGGCAATGTTTTAGACTTTGTTTGACAGGTTTAAGCGTTCCACTCTGAATGCTGAACAAATATCAGAATTGTATTTGATTAATTCGTTTGATAACTGAATACTTTGTGATGTCGTCCGAGTAATATTAATTTCATGTTATAAACTTATGTAATACTAGAACTTTATTTCGTTAATTAAATTGAATTGATTAGCATATATTTTCACTATTACTCAGCAAATTCAAAAAAACATTTTCATCTTTGATTTGGAAATGCTGGAAACAAAAAAGTGGTCTCTTACAGTTGATTTCACAGATAAATAAATAGTTTTTCTTAGAGATATAAATTAAGGGTTTTGTGGACAATTATATTCCAAGTGAACTAATAATGAAGATAATCTAATATAATGGAAAATAATCAAAAATTGCTAACATCAAATCAACAGTGTACAACAATGTATACTCAAACCCTAATTTTACTTCAATTTCATTTTTCAAACCCTAGTATCACATTAATTTCAGTTACTATTTGAACGACCGGCGTCGACAACATTAAAAAGAATATTTATTTTCTACTATTTTTCATCCAAATCTATTCGAAGCCGTGTTATCATTTGAATAAATTTTACAATGACAAATGCAATTTGAAATTATATTTTCATGAACTGGCGAATTTCGCCTAATATATTTTCCGTTTATCCTAAAAAAAAAAAGAAAAGAACACCTATCTTCGGTAGATTTGGTTCGACTATTTTATAACCGTCTAAAAAACTGCGATAAAATTGTCGACTATAATACATCTTGAAAGCTCTCACAATCCCCACATCACAAGTTTAAATATTTGAAATATATTGAACAAGATACCTTGAATAAACGAAATATAATTTTAAAAAATGATACATTGCATAATATATACATTATAAAATAATATATTTATTAAATAAGAATGATGGTTTCCAAAACTAATAATTTATTATTTAATATATAAATTAATAATTATTAGTTTATCAGTTATTTAATATCTCACTAAATTACTAAAATTTCATCAATTCCAAATATATTAATCTCTTCAAATCATGATTTTTTTTTCAAATAAAACACATCAAGCATTCTTAGTACCTAAAAAGATATTATAACAAGAAAAAATATTATTAATAATATATCGATACAGTAGGCACCATCATCTTACGTTTTTTTGGTAGAAAATCGATATTATACGATAGGACAATCAGTGGTAAGCTTCTTAGCAAACAAATTCACCCATATATATATATATATATATATATATATATATATATATATATATATATATCGTTTTGTCCAACTTTAACTTAATATTATAAATTAGTTAAATGAAAAAAGAGAAGATAAATAATATTATAAAAAATGAATAATTTTGTCAAATAGTAATCCCATAAACGAAAACTATTTAAAAATCATGTAAAAAAAAGACAGGATGGAGTATCTGTTAATTAATGGAAATGGTAATTGATTAATTAGGTGAGTAATTAAATGTAAAAAAATATATGGGATCAATTATTTTGGTGGACTAAAATAATTAATGTTTCTTTTCCTTTTTAAAAAAGTTGGATAAAAAATAAAGATTTATTATATATGTTAAAAATAATTAGATCATAAATTTCAAAGATCAATTGATGAGTGCTGTCCCATCACCAGACTTCCTGCATTCTTCAACCCTACATATATATATATATATAATATATATTCACACTCCAGAGATCTTCTTCATATCGCTTTCTCTCTCTCTTCTCTCTCTCTCTCTCTCTCTCTCTCTCTCTAGAGTAATCTTTGACTCTCTACAGTTTCTGTTCCTCCGTGATTCCTGCATTAATTCCTCTTCTCACTGATCTATATATATGGTTCATTTTAAGACAACAAATCGGTAAGTAGTATTTACAGTTTTATTCTTGCATTTTTATGATTTTTAATTATGTATTTTTATATGTTGCAATAAAATGGAAATGAAACAAGTGTTATTTGTGGATCTGATTATATATATATATATATTATATATATTTATTAGTGTTTTTCATTTTGATTAGTAGGTATTAATCCCAGGGTTAGGGTTATAGTTCATGCAAACATTTTTTTCCCTTGGGAATCACAATCATGCTTTCTTAGAAGATTCAATGTTCAGAATATTTTTTTTTTTGGTCGAATTTAAATATGTCGATGTCATATTCTGTTTAATTTTATTTAAAAAAAAAATTATTTAAAAAAATATGTCGATGTCGATGTCAAATTTCTATTAATTTTTTTTTTCTACCTTGAGGTTTTATTTAATTATCTTGATATGATTTGATCTGAAATCTGCCAAAAAAAAATTGAAGGGTTGAGATCTAGTTTCGTTTCATCTCTATGAAATTACTCTTTTTTTAGGTGCATTTAATAGTTAAATAAGGGTATATTTACTTCTTAATCATAAGGCATATAACTTGAATTAATTGTTGTTAATTATTTTGACAAAAGATTGTAATTGAAGGCCATAGTTTAATTATCTTTTTTGGTTGTTTTATAATGTCCATCTTAAATCATCTTGTTTAGATTGTTAAATTCATATATATATATATATATATATATATATATATATATATATATATATATATATGTATATTTAACTTTTTAAATATATTCTTGTATTAATTAGCATTAATTATTCATCTTCTTAGTTAATATAATGGTTCGAGAGAGCTTTCTTCAGTCCACTCACGGAGAGGCGAAGGGATATTGAATTTGGTGCCGACTCATTCACTCAAACGAAGTAGAGTATACAATAGATTTTTTGTGCTACTACGAATGTGTGAATGATGCGGCACACGAATTTCATCCTATTCTTTTCTATGCTTGGACTGAAGGGAGCTCCCTTTTTCGGTTGTACAGATTGGGGTTCGGTTTTTGGAGGGACGAATTTGGATATTGTTCGTGACGTTTGAATCTTTTTAATTCGAATTTTTTTTTTCCGCAGATTGTTGCTCAGGTGGATGATTGAAATATTTTAGATTAATTTGTGGTTGTTTATGATTTAAACGTCTAGTGTCGAAGTGTTATAATTTTGATTCAATATTTAAATTATATTTATAAATTAAATAAATGATTATTATTCATAATTCAAATATTAAACCGAGTTCAAACACTTGTATGAACAGTTTATAAGTCGATTTTGTTACACATTATTTCAAATATTTTTAGGAATAATATTATTTCAAGTTACTATATTCATGAATGTGCAATTTAATTACCTAAAACAATAAATTGAAATGAATAATATTATTCAGTTCATCTCATAATAGAGGTTTCAGCCTTTAGCATATTAATAAGGGTTAATTACACTCACACCCCTGAGGTATGCTTAAATAACTTTAAGGTCCCTGTGGTATTGATAATTACACTCATCCCCTTGAAGCGTAGTTATAAACTCTGATGGGACAATGCATTGAATGCGTTATTACGATAGAGTTTTAACGGACTATTGGTTTCAGGAAGTGGTGGAGACAACAAAAAGTTATGAGTAATTTAAGAAATATTGAGAGAGTCATGTCACCCCATAACTTCCCATAACTCTATGTTATCTACACCACTAGCTAAAAGTAATAGTCCATTAGAACCCTATCGGAAAATAATGTATCCAATGCATTATCCCAATTGAGTTTCTAACAACGTTTCAGGGGGTAAGTATAATTATTGATATCATATGGACCTTAAAATTATTTAAGCATACCTCAGGGGTGTGGGTGTAATTTACCTTATTAATAAAATACTGCCTTATTTCATAATCTGCGGCTTATGCCCTCATGCTTTAGGGTTTTGGTTTAGTGTTGGAACTTGAAGTTTCAATTAATTAATAATTAATTAGTAATTAATTAATTAATTATTGGTGTTTGTTGACATTCGTGAGCTTTATGCATTGAATATGGGCTTACATGAGGACGATTACACTTTAATTCATTTTGATAATATTAACATACTTCCCACATTCCCATGCAATCTTTGCTTTTTATTTGTTGTTTCAAGTTTAAATATTCTTTAAGAGACAAAAAGATAAATACATAATTACTCTTTATACTTCTTTATTTGTAATATATGATAAATAGTAAAATATGTAAAATATACTTGTATATGTAATAAAGTTATAAAATGACAAATAATTGTAATTAATATTCTTTATTTGACAAAAAAAATACAAAATTACTCTTTATACTTCTTTAATTGTAATTTCTGATAAATAGTAAAATAGGTAAAAAAAAAAAAATATATATATATATATATATATACTTGTATATTACTCCCTCTGTTCCATATTATATGTTTTTGTAGAGAGTTTTTTTGTCCCAAATTATTTGTTATTTTAGATTTTCAATGCATCATTAATTGCACTATTTTCAATTTTACCCTTTATCACTCCTAATTAGTTAGTTGTAAAATAATTAATGTCAAGGATAAATTAGTATTTTCATATGCTTTTCACTATAATCTATACACATTTATTAATTTTCTTAATATGTGTGCAACAACGCAAAACGTCATTCAAATTTGGACGGAGCGAGTATGTAACAAGTATGAAATGACAAATAATTGTGTGATTAAAATCATGGGTAAATTACAAACACCCCCTGAGGTATGGTCAAATTACAAAAACCCCCTCTTGTTTGGATAATTACATCTACCCCCCTCAACTATGATTTTTTCTTACACCTCCACCCTTATTGTGCCAAATTCAATATAATCATCTAGATTCCGTGGAATGTGCTCTAGTTTGTATTCGTTTTGTGTAAAAATACAGTTTTCAATGCTCTGCAAACTGATATACACAAGCTAAAAATCACATATTATGATCATCTTACTTCATAATGTAGAGTTTGAATGATATAAAACGGGTACAAAAGTGATAATATTTCATATAATTTCGAAGATTCCACTAAATTTGAAGAGCTGAGGGGTGGTTGTAATTATCCAAACAAGAGGGGTGTTTTTATAATTTGACCATATACCTCAGGGGTGTTAGTAATTTACCCTAAAATCATTAATAAACTCCTTAGACATGGGGTGCATTACGTGGAAAGTAGAGGATTATCTTAATTGTTTATTGAAGTAATACAAAAGGTGCACTTCATTGTGTGGATCAAGAATCAAAGTACAACGGAGCTGTTTTCTTGCCTCCACTCTGTATTTTCTCGATGTAATTGGCACGTGCGGAAAAATTACATCGAGTAATTAAATACAAGTGGAGGCAATAAAATACACACAGTTAGTGTATTTTAAATTGCTCATTCGACTCTTTTGAGTCCACTTTACTATTTATTCGGATACGCTCGGTTGCAGTTGCATGTGAAATTTATCTCGACAATATAATTGCCGTTCTTGGTATTTCACATTATAATACTACACCCTTTATCAATTTTTTCGGATACTCCTCGAGCGAAGAATGAATTTTTTTAATATCCTCCTAATCAAAGAATCCATGTAGATAACATTAAGATTTAAGAGCGTGTCTGTCTAATCTTATAAGCTCCTCAAAACAACTCGTAAGTTGTTTACTTTGTCTAATAGCTCATAAGCTCTTAAAATTTGTTTGGTCTTAAGTTTTTAAGAAATAAATTGTTTAAGCTATTTTCAAAAAGTACTTACACCCCACTTTTTTCTTATATATAATTAGAAACTTAATTGCTCAAGTACTTTCACATTCAAACTACAATAATTCTCTCAAGTATTTTCTCAAACAACATATTCTCATAATCAAACCTAATAATTATCTAAAAATGTAAGTAAGATAACAATAGTAATTATCATAATAATTATAACATGCATTTTCCTTTATTTATATTTAATATGAATGTAAGATAGTCAACAATAAGTTAAGAGAGAGAGTCAAGAATAAGGTAAGAGAGATAACTCAACAAGAAGAGCTACATTTGAAAATTACAAGGTAATGCTAAATGCTCTATTGGAAACTAAACTGTCCAACTAAACTACATAAGTTATATATTACAAAAAGCAATTCAAGTAAATGAGCAATGACTGTACATAATAATATCTATATGCCAAAATCTCATTGATGGCCGGAAAAAAAAAAAAAAAAAAACCCGAGAAAACCATATGATGATTCACCTCGGATTAACAGTGGGAATGACTCCACTAACAAGATCACTTCCGGAAACATCTTGTGACACATAAGCGTTTCTTGAGGAAGACGAAGATGGCGGAGTAGTGACGACTTTGCCAGGATCAGTGACCAAAGATTCCGACAGATTAGTGTCCGATTCCGGCATCATAAGCCATATGTTTTCCAGTTCCCTTACCACTTCTGACATTGAAGGCCTCGAATCAGTTTCCTCTTGGCAGCATTTTAGAGCCAGATTTATGAACTTCTCCACACAGTCTGACGGATAAGACCCCATTCGCTCGTCAATTATCGAGAATATCATACCCGATCGATACGCAATGTTTGCCTGATTAATTAATCACAACTTTTTTTATTAGGTGCTGTTCGGCACATTTTTTCTTTTAATAATTTTGTTTTAAAGATAAGTACCTCACGAACGATGTTTTTGCCGTGCGAAATTGGGTGCATTCCGGTCAGCATCTCGAGAAATACAACTCCGAGGCTATAAACGTCGCTTTTGTCGGTCAGCTTATGAGTTAGGAAATACTCGGGGTCAAGGTATCCCTGCAAGAGTCATGTTATGGTCATTTTTTTAGCAACGTGTAAGATGAAGAAAATTTTAAATTAATTCACTTAGGTTCTGTTTGGTTCATGGATTTTGAAACGAGATAAACGAAAACGCAAAAGCAAATGAAAAACAATAGAATTTGAAAATCTATAGTCTGTTTGGTTCTTAAAGAAAATCGGGATAAAATTGATTTCGTAGAAAAAAAAAAAAAATTTACCCGAAAAGACGTGTTTTTTTTTTTTTTTTTTGAGTAAAAGATATTGAACACTAAATATTTTCAATTTTTTAGAACTTAGCATTTTCCTCGATTTCAGTTATTTATACTCACCGGTGTTCCTTTGACAACTGTAGATATATGAGAAGGGATTTCACCACCAAGCTCAGGAACAGGTGCTAGCCTTGATAGTCCAAAATCGGCAACTTTTGCAGTAAATCTCGAGTCAAGCAATATATTTGTTGCTTTTATGTCCCTATGAAATATCGGTGGATTGGCTTCCGTGTGAAGGTAAAGTATGCCTTTGGCTGAACCCAACGCTATTTTTATCCTTCTTGCAAAAGTCAGGGGTATTTTCGACTTTCCTGCAAATAAACATGAACCTTCAAAAACATTGTCATAGCAAAAACGAATACAAGTCGAAACTTAAATTTACGAAGGATGATTGATTTTCGGAATTACCAGATAGGTGATCCCTCAAGGTACCGTTCGGCATGAATTCATAAACCAACATCTGTGTTACAGAAAAACATGACAAATATGAGCAAGGAAGTTAAAAAATAATTACCATTTAAGCTAATGATAGCCGATGATATTGCCCTGTTTAAATTCTAATGTTACTGTCAGATCAGATCGGAGTTGACACTTCCGCAACAAAATCATTTGTTTTTGGAAGTGAAAAATTAATTCCAATACCCCTCAAAAACAAAAATCGGGAGAATGAGAACAACTTGTTCCAAAATCGGAAATTTTCATATCGAAATCGGCGGTATTCAGAATTTCCATTTGTTTCATATAATATAAAATACCTAATAATATTATATTAGAGGTGTATTTTCAAGAACAAAAATTGGAATATTTGGACATATTTTAGGAAATTAAAATTGGATCGGAAATCAGAATCTAGTATGTATTCCAATTACATTCAAACAGAAAAGGAAAAATCGAAAATCGGAAATCGCAACATTAGTAATCCAGAATGAAAAATATTGTTCAAAACTCAGAATTATTCGGATGGGAATCATCGGAATTCAGAAAGTCCGTTCCAATTTCACCCCTCCATATTTCTTCCAGTGTCAAAAAATATATTAAAAAAAACAAACCAGAATTTTAGGAAATTAAATTGGATTAGAAATCTGAATCTAATATGTATTCCAATTCCATTTTATAAGAAAATTGGAAAAATCGGATATTGGAACTTTCGCAATTGAAAATGAAAAACATTGTTCCACAATCATAAATATTCGGGTCGGAATCTGGAAATTCAGTTCCAATTTCCACCCGTCCATATTTCTTTCGATTAAAAAAAAAAAGGTACCTGTTCCCCTTTTTCGTCACAATAGCCAATCAACGAGACCAAATTCCTATGATGCAGCCTCGATAATAGTTCAATTTCAGTAAGGAACTCCTTTTCACCTTGCAAAGATCCCTCTAAAGCTCGTTTGATAGCAACAACTGTTCCATCTGCAAGAACACCTCTATGAACTATACCATAACCCCCTTGCCCTACTTCGGTTGAGCTGTCGAAATCATTAGTCGCATGCGCCATTTCACGGAAAGTGAAGTCCTTCACACCGTCGATTTTCATCGATATTTTCGACGCTGAAAAATACAAAATTTAAATACAAAAAATAATTAAAAATGACTTGGTTATAAACACAAATACGTAATCTAAGTAAGAAAATTTTGTACAGAACTAGCCAAACTCACATGGCCGTCTCTTCGAATAGGTGTGGTGTTTGCGCATGTGGCGTCTCATTATAATAATTGAAATAAATGCAGTTAAAGTAACCGATCCAGCTATTGTCCCTAGTATAACACCAGCTAGTGCTCCCTTTCTTAAACCAGATGGCTGACGATAGGGAGGTTCTGCAACATATGACTAAGAATTAAGGGCATGTTTGCAAAAGATTATTGATCAAGTAGAAGTTGGTGATTTTGAGTGAAGTTGAAATAAATGCTTAAATTATTTTATAGTTGGTGGTGTTTGCAAATCCTTTTAACTTTAAGGGTATGAATGTAAAAAACAATTTGTAGTTATTTGCAGAAGTGCTTTTGAATCAAAATGCTACCCTATACGTGCTTTTTAGATTGTAGCCTAAAACAACTTATTTTTATATGAGCAAAAGCAAAAGTTGTTTTTGCAACCAAAAAAAAAGCTCATAATCAGTTTTAAAAAACATACCAGCGTACGGTCCCAGGAGTGTGAAACTAAGAAACTCGTAAGGCCCGAAAACGTGACTCTCCGGAATCCTCCATCCACTAAACATTTCACGAACCCAATCAATCTCGCTCCTATTAAATAAATGGCTACTCCCATTAACATAAGCCGGAAAAATCTTGAGGTACATTTTAAGACGGGGCCCCTTCTGCCACGTCAGCAAATCTATATCGAGCTGAGAGGCGTTCATTTCGAGGCCGGAGCTCATGTACTGCTTGAAAGCATCTACATACGGAAGAAAATCCGAGAATACGGGACTCTTTAAACGGTACCCAATTAAAAGCGGAACGGTACAAAAGCACTGGGATCCAGGGGCATATTCGTAATCGGTGATCAAGCATCCTTGAGGTGGGCATTCGCTGATATTTTTGACGTTGAAGGTGGTGCTGAAACCTTCTTCGTGGGGCCCACAAAAGTTTTTCAGGTTCATATTTGAGCACACGGGATTTCCTTCAAGCCTGAAATAATTTTATTCGGATGATTTTGTGAGATGTTTGAATTAGTATGGGGAATATCATTTTTTGTAAGTATATGAAAACGAACCCGATGGTGATGTTTGGACGGGGAAGAAGAATGCCGGAAATATTTGAGAAATTATTGAATCCGAAATCCCTGCAAAAGTTTGTTAGGTAAATTTTTTATTAGAACACACATTTTCGGACTTACATTTTTGATATATATATATATATATATATATATATATATATATATATATAAGGAAGAGGACTTACAGAATGAGTCTCTCGGTTGCGTTTAAAGTCCGATTTTCCCAAATGCTCGACGGAATAGAACCGCCTAATGAATTGTTTGCAACTGATCTGCAATGGAAATGAATAAAAATGAAAAACAAATGAGGATTTATGTGTGTGTGTGTGTGTGTGTGTGTGTGTGTGTGTGTGTGTGTGTGTGTGTGTGTGTGTGTGTGTGTGTGTGTGTGTGTATAATCAGTTAAAACTATAAAATAGCTGATGATTTTGATAATCACTCACAATTTCTGTAAAAGAGGAAGCCTGGAAAAGCTAGGAGGAATAGTTCCGTTCAGATTGTTGCTCGACAGATCACTGCAGAATATATTCAAATATTTAATTTGTACTAATATTATTTAAGTAGCATTAAATAAATAAATGTCGAAACAAACATGACAAAGTCGGAAAATGATTGCATACATGGTTGTGATGTTTTTCGAGAGTGAGCCTGCTGGTATGATTCCATCGAGCTGGTTCAGGCTCAAATCTCTAAAATGCAGAAGAAGAAAAATAAGTAAATAAAAAGACAATAACACACTATATTATGAAAACGAAAACTCGGGATTTGTTAAAGGCCAAAACTGTAGAGATAATAACTTACATGTAAGCAATGTTCGGAGCATTGCTCCAATCAGGTATTGGTCCTCGTAAACTGCAGTTCCTCAGACTCCTAATAGAGCCGATAAAATAAAACATTATATGACTGGATAAAAAAAATGAATATATAATAGAAAAATAACCATAAGAAAAATCAATTACATAAGAGAACAGAAAAAAACGAGTGAATGTGCTTACAGCTTCAACAGTGCAGACATGTTGCCGTATGAAGAAGGTATAGTACTCCCACCAAAGTTGTTGTTATCGAGTTGACTGAAACAAACAAAATAAAAACATAAATCAAATAAGCTTGTGAATTACAAATATACCACTTGGAAGTTATGTTTTGTTTTTAAAGGACAAATTGCACTGAATAAAAAAGCCAAATCTCAAAGGGGTATTTTTTTCTTCTAAAATTTAGTCGAATTTTCTAAGAATAGGCCAATTTCTATAATTCACCAAGATAATTACTGATCTTCTAAGCTTTTTAAGTTTTGCTACAATATGACGAAAAATCAAATACAAGTGGTGAATAAATTTGTAGATGTAGCTCATAGTTGCAATTGTACAGATACGTTTTTCATGGTTTTCTCTAAAAAAAAAGTAATAATAGAATATATTATCGTTGGTGTTTTCCTCGCTAACTTTAGAAATAAGAGACTGAAAATATATCTGAGGCAAAGATGTCATACAGTATAAGTAAATTCGGCATTTCAGACAGTTCTGGTGGAAGTTCTCCCGTTAAGTTATTATTATCAAGCAACCTGCAAAAACATCAATTCATCAATTTAATAATAATCAGATTTAAAAAAAACGCCATGCGAAATATTAAATAAAAAAAATGACCAACTTACAAATGAACAAGATCTGGAAGTCGAGACAGCTCAGACGGTATTTTTCCACTCAGTGAATTATTATTCATGTGACTGCTCAGAATAAAAATGTACGTTAGAAACCACATCAGCTCTAATGTATGTAAGAAAAATACAAAATATGAATAAAGAAATAAATAAATAATCTTAACAAGTGTTTTGCTTTGGTCATGTTAGCGAAAGATGCTGGAACGGGTCCCGATATTTGGTTCTGGTCAATTTGTATCCTGTCCAAATTCGAAAGATTACCAAGCTCGTCTGGCAAGGACCCCGTTAGTTGATTTCCGTTTAGAAGCCTGTAATAACGTATATAAAAGAAGCTTTCGATAAGTAATAAAATTAAAAAAAAAAATTGGAACAAATACATACACAATGATTAAGTAGCAGGTTCCCTTCTTTTTTTACTCACAAGAGTTCAAGCGTTTTAATATTGCCTATCTCCTTTGGTATAGAACCGGTGATGTTGTTCCACATAAAATCCCTATCACAAACAATAAAAAATAAACGCAAGTGATTATGATGTTATAGATAATATAGCAAAGTACACGTGCAAGATGATATATATATTATATTACTCACAATATCAACAAATGTGATAATCGACCGAGTTCTGGAGATAAACTTCCAGTTAGATTCCTACCTAGTAACAACCTGTTGCACAAAAGGAAAAGCAGACAAGCCATCATTTTGCATAGTCCAAACTTATTATAACCTAGAAAGTAAGGAACTAACTACTACAAATTTATACGTAGATGAAGGTGAATCGTCATTTTTTCTTTTACCAAAATTTCGTTATCCCAAAGAATGACATGTTCATGGAACACAAAAAAAAAAAAAAAAGGAGAAGAGAAGAGAAGAGAAGGAAATAGTATGCCATGCCCGTTTTATCCATGTTAAACAAATATATCTAAGTGAATGGAAAGAAAGTAAAAAAAGAAAAAACATAAGTTGGATGATAGGCATCAAGAAAGAAGTTTTGGCAAACAATTTTTTTTATGTTCGATAATTATAAAAATAAGTAGAAGAAAAGATTGGAAAAAGGACTGAAATCGTACAATTCACTAACATGAAGATAACCATCATCAAGTGTTCGATTATAGCAGATAACACCCCTCCAGGTTGAATTACACGGATCGCCCCTGTTCCAACTGGCAAGATTTTTGTATGGGTCGGTCAAACTTTTCTTGATTAACCGCAATGCAACCACTGCACAACAACATTAAAAATAATCAAGAAAATATAAAAACCATCTCGCCATTCTGCACTAACTCACTAATTGATTTCGGTAAAATTCAACACAAATCATGGTAAATACTTTACGTAAAAATGAAGTATGGTACGTTTTGCAAAGTCGAAAGTTGTTAAGTTTTATCAACATATACTTCTGACGAATATTTAATATTCGCTGAATATATGCAAAAACGAAAAACCGAAAAAACTGATTTGACATCTTCACTTGCTTAAGATGTTAGCCCTCGAAATTACCTTCTTTCGGATCTGTTCGATCGCTATCAGCTCCAACAAGCAACAAATACCAGCAGAAACACATAAACAAACTCATTCTAGCCTTTGCAAAAGTTAACCGGGGCTTCCCAAGAATCGTCATTTTATCAAACACTTAGCCTGCACCTGAAACAATCATCAAAAACAAATCAAACTTCGGAACTCATTAGCAATCATCTGAAACAAATACCTCAAAATCAAGTCAACATTTGCAAACCAGTCAATCACAGTCTCCAACATGATTAAACAAATCTTTTCAAAGCTTGCATTGAAAGACGAAAGAGGCAAACCATATAAACAAAGCCGGATCAAATAAACAGTCAACAAATACGACGTCGTCCAAAGCAAAAAGATGGAACACAAAAAAAAGGGGCGAGTCAACAGTAAAATCGAACGAAATTAGGGCACGCAAATCGTCAATTTTTCATCATATAAAAATACTTCACAAAAATAAAATAAAAAACATAAATACACGTACGAGGGAAACATGCTCAACAAGAAGAAAATGGTGTCTGAAATCTGGAAAGGGGGAATAAGAAAGAGCGCGTAGGAAGAAAACTCGGATGAGTTGACCCGTTCTCCATATATGAATATTGATTTTGTTTGTGACGATGGTGGTGATGATTAGTATTATTTTTATTATTATTATTATTATTAGCAGTAGTAGTAGTACAGCAGAAGAAGCATCAGCCATCTTTTTCTGGCTGGTGCTTTGTTTTCAAACAGTTATTAAATAAATAAAATCAAATATGGTAAATTACAAACACACCCTGAGGTATGGCCAATTTACAAAAAAAACTCTTCCTGTTTGGATAATTACATCTACCCCCTTAACTATGTTTTTTTCTTACACTTCCACACTTATGGTGTCAAATTCAACATAATCATCTAGATTTCGTGGAATGTGCTCTAGTTTGTACTCGTTTTGTGTAAAAATATAGTTTCTGATGCACTACAATCTGATATATACAAGCCAAAAAACACATATTGTGATCTTCTTGCTTCAAAATGTATAGTTCGAATGGGATAAAACGGGTACTAAAGTGATAATATTTCATATAATCTCGAAGATTCCACTAATTTGAAGAGTTGAGGCGGTGGTTGTAATTATCCAAACAATATGGGGGGTTTTGTAATTTGACATTACTTTAGGGGTGGTTGTAATTTCCCCAATAAAATAAAATAAATAAATAAATAAATTGAAATAAACAAGAACTCAGAGACCAAGTTGTGGCTGGCAAACAATATTTTATTGAAAATTTAATGGGTGATTGGCTTTGTTGACTTTTTGATGTGGGGGAGTTGTTGTTGAACGAACGGCTTTTCTTGAATATATAATTTTATTAATATAATAATAATTGATAATATTGTTGAAATGGTGAAACTGAAAAAAAAAAAAAAAAAAAAAGCTGAGGGAATGGAATCTTCCCAGTTCACATTTTGATGATCTTGGTTGGCTTGTTTAAGGCAGCTAATCTTTTGATTAAGGGGTAATTAATTAGTAGCAAGTTGAAGAGGAAGACTAATTATGGAGTATTCATGTAACTAACTGGGTACGGGTGTTCGTTCGGTAATATCGTACGGGAATTTCGGTATTTTGAATATTTGTATCTTTTGTCGTGCCGAACTTATTCGGTTCGGCATGGGTTTCTACTGCATTAGTTCAATTTATTCAGTTCGGTACGGGTAAAACTGAAAATTTATTCTACATTTTAAAAAATAATATATATATATATATAATTCTTGAATTTATATTTATATATATACCGAAATATTTATATTTAAATTAATTAGCTTTCAGAAAATTAATTAATTCTTGAATTTGACATTCAAATTTCAATAATCAACCCTAAAAAAGTGATTAACAATAGAGGCTAATTTTGTAAATAAAAAAAATTATCAATCTAAAAGTATTTTACAACCTTAAAATATTTATTAATAAATACCGGAATTCAGAAAAATAGTAACCAAGTACCGAACCGAATTTTCGATTGCATGTATCGAATTTTCGACTAGTCCTTTAACTCTATAACTATTAACTGGGTATATTTTGAAATGTATATGTCCAAATTAGAGACCCGTTCTACTCCGGGTTCTCCCATCCGACCCAATTTATACTTAGGTACGATTTAATCGGAATACTTTGAAAGCAATATTATTAATTATAATTATCACCGAGTGTAGGATCGAAAGAACCTTATATCTACTTCATTATTAACAAATAAATAAATTGTTTGATTATCTAGCCAACAACAGATAATGGATATCTATCTACTACATGGTCAAATGAGAAGTAGGCGTTGACTAATCAAAGTCAATTAAGTTTATCAAAGGTAGCCTAATAGTAGAAATTATGGGTGTAAACCGGAACATAATTTTCGAATTTTCAGGTTTCGATTACTAAATTTTCGATTCTAGAAAAATAATTTTGATTTTTAATTTCTAGACTTCCAATATCTGGTTTTCCAATTTTTGGGGATCATAATTGGAATATATATGTGTATGTCTCAATTTCAATTTTAGTTTTTAAATGATACACTTATAATATGAGTATTATTAATTTATTATAATGTACTTTATACTATAGATGAATGAAAAAAAATGATTTCGAGGGAAAATATATGATTTTCGTCGATTTTGATAAAAAAAATAAATCAATTTTAGAATAAGTTTTTTCGTACCAATTTCCATAATTCTGATTTTCTTTTTAATTACTTTGAAACGAAAATAAAATTAGTTTTCACTTCTGAACAAAATTGAACTTCATGTATAAACTATGTGTAGCTACTTCATTTGGAGAACAAGATTTTGGAAAAAAATAATTTGAAACAAAATTATTTATATTTATAGGGAGCTTTTACTATCCGAATGACTTGACCGAGTGTAGAACTTGAAAACGAAGTAGATTTATTCGGTATTGTAGACATGAGAGTAAATGAATTGAATCGGCCTACAAGCAAATAAGTCAGCTCAAATTTATTATTTATTTTTCATAAGTTCGTGAGCCGGTTGTCCACGTTTATATTTTATATATTTATATTTATTATATATAAATAATGCATACTACTGAAAAATATATGCAATATTAAAAAAATCAGTTCCATTGACTTTTTATTTCATATTTTCAACTTTTTTTATATAGATAATAAATAATTAAATAATAATGATAATAATAATAATAAGTTGAGCTGAAGCCCACCAAATGAATTAAATTCTGACTTGTATATGGTCGGATTTGAAATGGGTTTGACCAATTCCCGCGAAAGTATTCCCACACGACTTTTATTAGTTGTACGAATCGTTTGAATTTATGAGTGAATTTTAGGAAGGATTGAAATAACCTCATATTATAAAGGGTAAATTACAACAAACCCCTAAGGTATGTTCAAATTACGAAAACCCCCCTCTTATTTAGATAATTATAGCCACCCCTTAACTATAAATATTCTGACACTTCCACCCTTGCGGTTTCAAATTTAGTGGAGTCTTCGAGATTATATGAAATATTATCATTTTTCAACCCGTTTTATCTCATTCGGAATCCACATTTTGAAGCAAGATGGTCATAATACGTATATCAGATTGTGGTGCATCTGAAACTTTATTTTTACACAAAATGAGTACAAACTAGAGCACATTCCACGAAATTTAGATGATTATGTTGAATTTGACACCATAAGGGTGGAGGTGTAAAAAAAATCATAATTAAGGGTAGATATAATTATCCAAATAAGAGGGGTTTTTTCGTAAATTGACCATACCTCAGGATGTGGTTGTAATTTACCCTATTATAAAAGGCTCAAAAGATGTGAAACAAATGTTTGTTCCATGTTCGATGCTACGATCGGTGAATTTAATGTAAAAAGAAATTGTTAGGTATAAATGTTGAAGGTGGCTATTCATGGATAAAATTGGACAACTAAACTTATATGTCAAGAAATAGACGACATACCAACTTTTGAAATAATATAATTATATAATTTCATGATTTTATTCTTCATCAGTTTATTTATGTGTTATACCACATGAAGGTTACATTATGTGATTTTTTATCGTTGTTCTGCACACAACAATATGTATATGTTTTTTTGTATCTATCTGAATGATAAAAATATATTCGATTTATTTCAATCCGTGTAGCATAGTATAATATTTGAAGGATCATATGTTTTATATTTTCTATGCACTAACTCAAGATGATTAAAATAGATACATGGATCATATGGTCAGAATTGATTTGGGTAGTAGGTGAATTTTATTTATTTATTTATATTTCTAATTTCTATTTTCAGAGTTGGTTTTATCCTTTTTTTTTTAAACCAGGTTATCTATATACAGATATTAGGTCATGGCCTATTTGCTTGCTAAAAAAATAAATTAAACGTCATGACCTACGTGTCGTACTTTAATACTCGTAAAAGTCATAAGCAACTAATTAACTAACACTTAAATTAAAGAATTTTAAGTTGGGCACCTCAAATTAATAATAACAAAATTATTGAACTTTCTAATTTTTTTCAATTTATCTTACATTAAATTTAAAAATTTAACTTCATTTTTAATTATATGGTGAGCTACTTATTCGTATCTAGATCCACTTTCAAATTTTTTTAACGAAGAAATCTAGACAAAGTCATAAGTACGTAAAAAATTAAAATACTCCTCCCACCCCCATTTTAATATACTTCAAATTTCATCTATTTAACCTTAATTTAACCGCAATTTCACAAGTTAATTAATTTTGCCCCTAGTCTAATTTTGACCGCCGCCGCCGTTAATTTTATTTTTAGTATTAATGTGGCTGACAGTAATATTAACTATATTATTGTTTGACACAATAATATTGTTATATTACTATCTCACACAGTAGTATTAAGACAACAAATCCCTATGTTACATGCAAGACCAATCAAACACCACGAATTGTTGCAGCGGTTGAACCAACAGTCACAAAATTCCAGACATTGTTGCATAGATCAAATGAAAGCAATGAAATAGTAAAAAACACAAAAAGTTATAGTTGTTCGATCTGTACTACCACAAACTTACATCCATTGTTGCACAGATCAAATGAAAGCAATAAAACAGTAAAGAACACAAAAAAGTATAATGGTTCGATCTGTATTGCCACATACTTACATCCACTCACGTGCAGAGAGAGAACAATTCACTAGAATCAGAAGGTTTACATGATACAAGAATGATGATCAAACACTCAACACTCACAATTAATCACTTTGTTGCAGATTGCACTTACCAAATCACGGGCTCTTCGTGCTTTATATACATCGTTAATCTTAGCTAAAATAGACTTGTTCCCCAAGCTTCCGATGTGAGTTGGACAAAATGTCCGCATTAGAAGAAATGATTCGAACTTTCTTTTAGTTTAGGGGAGTAACCTTTTGCACTTTTCAGCTCATTTTCCAATTTGATGACGTGGATAAACATCCACATAACTTGTACACGTGGATTTGAATCATAGGATAACACTATACGTATGCAGTTCATTATAATTTATATGCATGTGAAATACTTTTTATGCTTATTTTTGTGTTTTGTGCATAATAGTTGTTTCAAAAAAAGTCAACATGCACTTATTTTGGGGTTAGTGTTAGTCAGAATAATTTAGATCAATTAATGAACCTAACTTATGCTTCCTTTTTGTGGGATATGTTTTATTGATGCATAACTATGAGTTTTGCAAGTTTTGTAATAATTATTTTAAATAG